TAACTAAAAAAAAGATCATTAATACTATTGTGGGTTGCCAAAATTTAAATAATTTCCAAAATGAGTCGTGCACTCGTGTCATGAAAAGTTTGAGAACCTTTGTTCTAGTACATGATAAAAACAAACTATAAAATGATTGATAACATTTAATATGCAAGTTTAACCTATACTCTTCAATAGTTATGATAGCATAATGTTATAAAATATAACGATCAAATTTAATAAGTAAATTAACAGTCATTCTTCCCGTCGGTAACGTAAATAAGTAGAAGTTCAAGAATTAATTCACACGCCTGCCAAATGAGCTCGGGAATCAATTTTACATCGAATAGATAACTCGAAAATCAACAATCCACAACGGATTTCTTAAGATTCTGCGATCGGTTACAATTTTCTGAGTGCGTGCAATGGCAAAAATTGTATAGGTAATAATTACATTACTAGGTATTAGATAGGTTCGTAAAATCTACACTGTACATATATATAGTATTTTAATTTTTATCGAGTTCACTTCCCTCCCTTAAAAGTTGTCTAAACGAACGCCCACGTTTTATTCAAAAGTTATTAGTTTATTACGTTAGGTAGTGTTTTTATATAGTATAATTGTTCAACAGTTAATTTTAATTACGTTATTATAATATAAAGTTAAAGTTTTAATTTTAGTTATAGCCTTAAAGGCACAAGTATTCAAACTTTCTAAGATAAGAAAATCAGATTATAGACGAAGTAAGATTTTATTGTTATTACACAAACATAATGTACCTACCTAAGGTCTTACGAATGACATCACATTGTTATAGTTCTTTATCTATTACTGACAGTTCTTGTTGTTGATTGTTGATACTTCAAAAGAAATTATAACAGAAAAATAAAAACCAAATGTCACGCCCACAATACTATCGTTTATTTACATTTTTATAGAGTTCTTTTTCATTAACGTTATTAACAGCAAAACCCTTTTATAGTAGGTAATAATAATAATAATAATAATAATAATAGTAATAATAATAACAATAATAGGTACAAAACATTTTAATTCGAAACTTCTTACTTTTATTATTATATTAAAGTTAACTCTCGACGTTTTTATTCATTCTTAAGTAAATATTTACATTTTACCTCTAATTGAAAAGAAAAACAATTGACTTCTAGAAAATAAAAATTATCAAATTGGTATGATTTATCATAATAATAAACTCCTAGCTCCTCACAATTCTAGCATAATCATATGGGAAATCAATAACAATAATAATTTATATACCTAGGTATACCACACAGAATAAGTTGGTCGTACATTGTTGCTATTATAATATATTAAGTGGTACACTGATCACTGGTGCAACTTGTCCTAAAATGTTGAGGTTACAGTAACCATTATAATTTTTACAATGCGATATAATATGTTTATTGGAGAAAATTATTATATGTTATAGTCATAATCACATCGTGATTCGTAGTTATAATATTATAATTAAATATAAAATAAATATTATATGATATGTAAATCGGGTTATGTATCTTTCTTGTAACTATTGTAGCTGATAAAAAAAAATTTCAAGTAAATTCAAATTTGTATTCATTGATTCTGGATAAATATTTTACGAGTTTAATTTTTTTAGAGGGAAAATATACGTAGGTAATTTTTAACAGGCTTAGCCACTCCAGCATTCTTTTTTGATCTTATTTATATATTCTTTATGTTCGTTATTATATTAAAAGCTATTTTATATAAGGAAGGTATATTAATATGGTATAAATACATTATGGTATTAAACACAGGTATCTAGGCAAATACAAGAGAAATTATGGTGGTGTAATAGAGTCCACAGATATATAAAATCAAGGAATGTGTATCTAGTGAAACTAGAGTGATGCCTATAACATAAGTCATGAAATTATAATAACGAAAATGATTTTGAGTTCATAAAAATATAGTTATTTTAACTTAATAAGATAAAGATCTATATTAGTATATTAGGTACGGTATCTAATCCTTACGCTATCATTATGGAAATTTTGCAGACTATTGCGTCAAGGGCAGCGAGTGAATTTTTGCGGGCTGACAGACCGCGACGCCATATTGCGGTTAGTGCCGAGCAACGTGCGTCAGCGCTGTAACCACAACACGTTTTTGTTAGGCCGCAATGGTAGCACGCTGTACTATACAGCATACTACCGAATGTTATCTAGACGGCGGTGCCACCGACAAAGCAGAAAGAAATGATTTACGTCGATAACTATATACCCAACCACAGTAGCAGAAACAAGATCAGGATCAGGACCGGAACCGTGATCTGGATCAGAATCAAGACCAAAATCTTACCATGATCACGGTTTGGATCTAGAACAGGAGAAGGATGAGAATGACGATCATCAAGTAGACGAGTCAAGAGATCAGCCGTGGGCAAACAATTACAGACATGTGACGAAAACGCTACCTACGTCCGTGAAGTCAATCACGGGGTTGTTTTTGAGCGACTACGAACACGTGTACGTTCTGTGCATGTGTAAGCAGCCGGATAGACGAGACGAGAAAGACCGACTGCAGATCGAGGTAAGCGTATCCAAATGGGTGCCTAACCCGTTGATGGAGACATTCGAGTCATTGAATTTACAGGAAGTTATAACGAATCTGTAAAGCACAAAAAGCACCAAGAAATGCAACAGTTCCAAAAAAAACCAGCTACTTCGATAGTCCCACCGGTTAAATTGTGTTCGATCTTGCGTTGTAGTAAAACGCGCCGGTACCACTGTACTAGTATTGCAGACTGCAGTCGACGTATCTAATGCGTCCTGATACTTCAGCCCTCTACCGATCTCTCCAGCTGTCTTTCAAGCAATACATCTGAAAACCCGCAATGTACATTCCCTGATGTTACCTACAGAATCAATTAAGTAGGTACATTAGCATTTCTACTGATAGATTTTCCCGAAGTTTCGGATTTCCTGTAATCGTGGGCTTAAAGTTGTTTCAAACATATCTTTCGTTTTCGTGTGCTTTAGAACAGCCATTGGATAGCTCATAATTTATTTATTTTGCTAATAACACTTTTCGAGTTTCGGATTTAGCTATCCGATTGAAGTTGTGTGTGTTATTGAATCTTTTATTGCGTGGTTTGAACAATAACATTAGAAATGTTTTCGTGTTATTATGAAAATGATCTGCACAAAATTAAAACAAAAAACTAATGCAAATAAACGCTTCCATTATGATGTGTACTGTGTAGGCAAAAAAAAATACCATAAACATATAGGTATAAATATTAATTATATTATTTTTCCTGTTCATAACTTATAGTATATAACCAACATAATGTTATATAAATTATAATTTGATCAAAATACAAAAATAATAATCGAAACGAGTAGATATGTGAACTTTTTTTTTCAAAAAACGTCGATTCACATAAAAGAGCGGATCATGGAGATCGATTCAAAATATCGATTAATCGCATGAAAAAGATCGATTTAGATTGTTCATCACAATGAATACTATAATACAATTTACCTTAAATTATAACTTGTAAAGACTGAAAACTATATTTGAGTAATTGCACGTAATACATATATGATATATAAGTATCGCACGAATAAAAAGACTGTGGATTTACTCTTGTTTTTTTATCTCATTAATAAGAACTTATGAGTTCTTGTGATATATACCAAAATTTTTTTTAATTAATGAGGAAAAACCTTAAAAAATAAAAAAACATCATATGTCTATACTCTATAGTTTAAAACGAATCAAAATATTTTGAAAATGAATGTATATAAAATACTTGATTAAACTGCATTTAGTGAAAATCTCATTTTTAAGTAAAATAAAAAAAAATAAAATTAATTTTGTCAAGAAGTATTTGTTTTTCTAATTATAAGAGTTTTTTTTTTTATTTTTGAACTCGTAAAGTATTAAATTGATCTAATTTTCTATTAAAATTATTGTCCAAAGTTTATTAATTTTAAGCACATTTTGTTACTAGTATTTTTAGATACATAAATAAAAACATACATTGTAAAATCAAAACCTACTAACATTTAGTGATATGCTCTGAATCTATATACTGGAAATCATTATTTTTTCACAGGAATAGATTAAAAAATAAAACGTAACATAATAAATAATAATATTCAACATATTATAATAGGTAAAAGGATTTTTGCAAAATTTATAATTTTCAGTGTTAAATGGATTAAAAACAAATAGACATATTTTATATGATTAGGTTGTACCTAAGATACATACAATTGAAAAGTTTAAATAAGGAATCATTTCCTTTTACTTTATAAAAAAATGAAAACATAAAAATATCTACTCAAGCAAGTCAATAGATATGTTAGAAAGGGGTTCAACTGGTTGAAGCCCTACTTATAGGCTTCTCTTAAATTTGGTAGGAAGAAAAAAGCCTATTTTTAAAAATTTACTTTATAAACAAGTAGTGGAAAGGAATTAGGTAATAAGTCTGTGCCCTCTTCAATGTTTTAGATAATATATGTTATATGAAAACTTAATAATTTATACTACGGATATTACACTGTTTATAAAATATTTATTGACGTCATTCCTCATTGTTAAATCCATGTCTCTTCCAAAAACATATGTGTAAGTACATACAGGTTTTAAATTTTATGTTTTCACTTTATATTAATTAATTTATTAATTTTAAATTTTAAATTTTAAAGGATAGTCTAAGGTATCTAAAGATATTATTATTAAGCATTTTTATAATTTATTAATTACTTTTTTTTTTATTTAGAACAGCTTTTAAAATAGAAGATTTTATCCAACATCATGTGTCATAATATTATGTATTGAATTTTATTGTACTAGAACTAGACCTTAATAATTAGTAGATATTGTTAATAAGATATAAATTAAAAAATTAATGTAGATATTAATAGTTTAATGTTGTATGAAAATGTTTGAAATTAAAAATAAAAACAAAGTTAAAATGGTTTATTTAGGTTTTTAATCTTAATGTATATGTAGGTAGTATATTTAACAAAAAAATCTTTATATTATGATTATTTTTCCGTAAAATAATATTTTAACCTTTAGATAACAATTTATAAAACACATCGGTTAGTAACATTTTCAAGTTAACATTCACATTCACATTCAAATTCATACTCTTCATCACAATCGGCACATTCAAATATATCTTCTCTGACTTTATTGAAGGGATAAGGAGGCGGAAATGCATTAAAAAACACAGATTCTTTAAGCTGAAAAAAAATTAAAATATGACTACATGTACAATTTGATATTTTATTTTATTCAAATACTAATTAAGTATTTATCTACATGTCAATGATACAAAATTAGAATATAATTCTAAATATTGATACTTAAATATTATTAGTAGTCATGTATAACTATATAAGAATTTAATAAGATGGATAAATTTTGTGTTAGTATTAAATTGTATATTAGTAATAACTTATGATTCTTGAACATTTATTTATCATATAAGTATACTAAGTAATTAGTACTTTATTAGCCTTTACTACTTTGTAGTCTATACTTTTTGTCTTATAAGTTACTATTTTATAGTATAGATAAGTAATAAATTTAAAAATCTATAATATCATTTAATAAACTAAAGTTTTAAATTTTTATCTTATGATCTGTACAAGAAGAAATTTTCTAAAATAATTAAGTTTGACTTACAAATATTATAGAACCAATCAATGAAACTAAACCAAACAAGAATACTCTATTGTAAGATTTGTTTCTTTTTGCATTTTGTTCTTTCCAATTACCATATGGCAATTGCATATCATCCATAGTTAGTATTTTGTAATGTATTGGAGGACAAATACATTCTAAGACTGGCTGTTTTTGTTTGCATTCATTTTGTTTTATGTCTTTTTTATCATGTAAACGCCGAACTATGTAAATGTAAAAAAATATTGTAAATTATAATAGATTAGTGAGTGATAACTTACTTGAGTGATTTCTGTCTACATAAAAATATATCAAATCACCAAGATGATGAATTTTTTATACAAAATACAATTTTTTATTTTTTACTTATCCAAAGCTAAAAGATTAATTTCTTACCATTAAGATTCTGTACCATATAAGAATGTCGATACAATTTCGATTGTGCAATGATCAATCTCCGAAACATATTTTAAACTTTTAATTTTTAATTTATATAGTAGTCAGTATTCAATACAAGTATTAGATAATCAATTTATTTAAAAATATATGTCATATAATACGTATTTTGATACTTAATAGATTTAAGAATTATACAGTGTAGTAAAAAATATGTAACGTTAAAACTTTATTGCAAATAATTAAGTGTAATGGACCGTCGACTGGTGTAAACTGTAAACGTATAACGTATAACGATTGATCGAAAGTGACTTAGCAATTTAGCATTTAGCAAATTGCAAATAAATAATGACCAACGTAAATAGTATTACTATTATTAAAATAATAATATAGATTTCGACAGGGATGTTACTAAAATAGTACCCATCTAGAATTTAGTATTTACCACGGTTATGAATATATATCATGGAATGAATGGTTGGTAAGATCTGCGGTTATGATGGTTAGATATTGAGAACACAACCCACAGGATAAATATTATTAATTATTATTTACCGTACAATTTTTTGTTCACATCTCAATATCTGAGATAGAAAATGACATGATTTTTTTTTGAAATTTTACATCATCGACTCCTATTTTATAATTTTTTTTATGACTGACAGCTTTGTGGATCGTGCGTATATTAGAACGAACGTCTCAAAAGTATTTTTGTCTATGCATCTCAAATAATTTATGGCAGTACTGTCTAGTTGCGGAAGTGTGCGTCAGACGTTCAAACTAATATTATTTTGATAGATGGCACTATCATTATCGTTCTTGACTGAAATCCTAAAAATCTTAACAGTGAATAGCGATTGCCATTTGCCACTTGGCACTTACTACTTTAGTATGACATACATAACGAATCAGTAATCAGTAATCACAGGCTTGCAGTCGGTGACATAGAAAGACTCGCTAACTTCCCTGATAAACGTAGAAAAAAGCGCCTTTTTACTAATTAAAAAATCAATGTGTTGATATATTTTTTTGTAATCTTTATTCTTACTAAATTTTTTTATGAATACAATTTATATTTATTAGTTATTATTATAGTGAAAATTTCAAACTTTAAAAATTTGCTTTTCTTGATTTAAGACCGGCGAATTCATCGATAATATAAATGTTGTGTTGAAGGTAGATAAAAATACCACATTTGAAGTATGATTTTGCGTCCCAGGCGTTGTCACAGTTCGTCTTACCCTTACTACGTCACTGCTTACGAGACTATAATATTTTATAAAGCGTGTAGGTGTATATACTATATACCTAGTGTTTAGAATATCAGTATAACAAGATGTAGCAAATTATTTTAAAAATATACAAATATTAAAATATTATCTTAACTATTACCTATATATTTTGACAAAATGTAAGTGCCAATCGTGTATGTTTAGCTTAAAAACCTAATCACAACTACTATTACAACTCTGAAGCAAATCTAATTATTACAAAAAAAATGTTAAGTATAATAAGTATCTTATTTTACCAATAATTCTTTATGGAAGAATTTAAAAAAAAACAGTATTTTTTTTTTATAAACATCCGTAGGTCGTATTTGTTTGGAGCAATCAATGCCACAATGAGCAATGATTGCCGATTGGTATCTACAGCTGCTGTCAGCTGACTAACGAGAGAAATTTAGATATCAGACCTGTTATCACCTATCAATACTTAAGAAATATAATAATTGATAATGCAATGATCGTATTCTACTATATTATATAGTATTAACTACCTATTATGTTTACTCAGATTTTTTTTAATAAATGACAATTCCACTGTTCACGAAGTGAAAACACATTTAGGCGTTTGAAATATAATTAAATATTTTGTTTCACAAATAGACAGTACAATATCCTCTGAATAATGAACGCCAAAATTGAAGTTGGAAATTTAGTGGAAAAATCAAGGTAAGCAATTCATTATTATTGTTGTATTATAATTTTTAATGTTCAGTTTGTTTCTTTTCGTTTTTTCCACATCATGAGTGTTTATGTTAACAAAATACATAACACTATTTGTACATAATCTAAGTACCTATTTAATGTATTTTGTTAGTAGTGCATACATGTAAGGTTGAATGTATGCCATATAAATGTCATATTTTTATTAAATCATTATGTTACTTATTTTAATACAATATATTAAACTGTTATTATTAGTTAAAGATAATTAAATATTTTAGTTATTACACTTATAATATTTATTTTTTTTTTTTGAAATGTTTACCTATGAGTTAATAAACTGTGATGTATAATTGTATAATTTTTAGGTTTCCAAAGACTGTAAATGAAACACTAGGAATAATTGCTTATTTTCCATTTGGAGTTGTACTAGTTGTTTTGAGAATTTTTATTGCAATAAATGCATTACTTTTAACAGTTATTTTGAGCAATTACCCAAACATCCGCAGGTAAATTATTTTTATAAATGACTGTTCATTGTTACGATTGTTTACTCATAATTAGGATTTGTGTTTATAGACCACTTCTAAGAATTATGTCTGGTGTTCTTGGATTAATTGTAGTCGAAAAAGAAAATTCTTCATCTAAGAACAGCAGAGTGTTGGTTTCAAATAATTTGTCATTGTTTGATCACATTGCGTTGCATTTGACAACAGGATGTTTTACTGTATGTATATAATTATCAATTATAAATTGTCAACATTTATTATATTTTTACTTCAAATTTTCAGCCAACAACTTTATTCAATACACCTATAGCATTGTATTTTGGGTTGATATCTATATTGACTAATGATAATCCTTCATCGGAGATCACTGTATTGAAACAATTTTTAGCTAACAATGATAAAAAATCGTTGCTCTTATTTCCAGAAGGAGCTTCTACTAATGGAAAATGCGCTTTACTTAAGTAAATATTGAAATGTTTATTTATTTTTAGATATTTATAACAATTTCTTTTGTTTATCAAAACACTAGATTTTCTTATGTACCAGCCTTAATAAGTGACAATTTACAACCAGTAGTCTTAAGAGTTACTCGACCATCATTTGTTAATATTAATATATCAGTGCTTGGATCAAACACTATTTCAGAAGTACTTTGGTTTTTTTTTGTTCCGTTTACTAAATTTGAGTACAAGTAAGTAAACTGTCAACTGTTTTAGTTAGCATCTATGTAATTTAATATTCAAATTCAAATTATTTAAAAATAATTATAGACTTCTTGAAGTGATTCAAAGATCCAAAGACGAATCTAATGAAACTTTAATGTTCAGGGTGGAAAAAGCTATTTCACAAGACCTCAATATATCTACTTCAAATATTACTAAGAATGCTAAAGTATGATAAAAGAAAATGTTGAAAGCTTATTATCTAATATTGTATTTTAAAGAGTATGATTAATATCAACTGCAAGTTACCTTTAATTAAATAATTTAATTTTAATTTTAGGATGAATATAAAAAAATATATTTAATCGAGTTGGCGGAAAAAAAAGCTAAAAATCATAATAGACATGTAACTCGGGATAATTTTGAAGAGGATCCAGAAATATTAAGAATGGCTGCACAAGTTACTGATGTTCTTCCATATGTTCCCAAAAATGTCATTGTTGCTAATCTTAGTAAGCTGATTAATAAACTTCTATTTATAAAATTAATATAATTTTGTTTTTTTATTTATAAAATAAATTGTCTTTAAAAAATTGTTACTGGGGATCACGAGTTCATGTATTATACTTATCAATCTTGCCAAGTCGTATAACAGTTTAATTTGTAAATTTGTACTAAGGTTGACAGGACATAATAGGGGTGACCTGCAAGAAGAGACTTGTGGTTTGCCTAATATATTAATAAATATGAAAGAGCTAAAATGAAAATAATATTACATATTAATATATAATATGATTATCGTAAAAAAGATAATTCAATATCAATTGTAATAAAATGTGTAAAATACATAACAATATAAGATATTAATTAATAATTAAATTAAAATATATATATATATCTAAATATCATATTAAAAACACTATTTTTTTGTAAATATTTTATTAATTGAAATTTAATAAAATATACTTCTTTTATATTGAAAAATAAAAATATAATTTTTTTTTTATGTTAGTATTTTATGATAAGATGTAATCAACAGTTTGGCCACCCCTGGGATGTAATATGTGAAATTTTGTTTTACTTTTAAGGTTTTTGCTGTTGACATTTTTTTTTAAATTTTAAAAGTATTCCTTTTTTTTTTTTAATTGTTAATGGTTTTTAAAAGAAGGTATCAATTATTTTAATGTTTATCATGTACAGAACTTTAACTCAAATTATTAAATAATAAAAATTATAGTCAACCTGCTAGGTCCAATGAAAATAATTATAAAGACATGCATGATCAAAAAAAGTATTTATATTTTATTAATTTCACAAAATATTAGGGTGAATTAGGTTTTGTTCATAAAGTAGATTTCTTTTTTTTATTTATGAATTATTAAAATCAAAATAACACATATTTTTTAAACACATTTTATTACATTCTATATTATTATATGAGCCTCAGACATTATTATATAATATATTAATTATGTTATAATTTCATTCAATGGATTTTTTTTTGTTGCTTTACAGGGCGAACAAGAAGTGTTGACATAACAATAACTAATATGCTTGATGGTACTGTTAAGTTTACTCCATTGCCACAGTCTTCCAAACCAAAAACAACGGTAATATATGAAATATTATGCAAATTATATAAATTATTGCTACAAAAACTTACACAATAGTCCAGCAGTTTCTTAACTATTTTGAATACACTACTCTAAAAATAAGAAAAATAAATTATGGCTCCTCTGAATAAATGAAATAATTTTTATCATTAGTATATAATGTATACAATGTAAAAATTTACCTTTATCTTCCCCTGTTAAGTGCTCACAGTTTAGGAACCACTGTTGTCTGTTTTACTTGCATAAAGATATTAATATGTCTGATTTGTAGTGAACATTTTTTTTCAAATTTTATTCACTTTTCATTATTTAGTTATAATATTTAACTTGAGTTCCTTTTGTCTAAACTATTGATTATGGTTTAAAATATTTTTATTTTATTACATAATACATACATTTATTATGATCTTAATAAATAAACAATCAATAATCAATTATTCCATTAAATTGATTTTATATTAACAGTAACTTAATCATTGAAATTTAGACTTTAGTTATTACACTTGTTTTTTCATAAATCATTGGCAACAATTTCCCATTATTAATATTAAATATATTGATTTACCAAAGTTTAAAGAGGATAGAGATATGAAGACCCAATATGTAAAAAATAGATTATAACAAAGATTAAACTAAGATTTAATTGAACAATTAATACGTGAAATAATTATTATTATCTAAATGAGACAGGAAACTTGTTTATTTTATAAAGAATTAAAATATTGTGAGCTCAATACTACACAAAAATATCATTAAATTTACTGTAAACAAGCACAATAAAATATCATAAGTTTTTCCTATTTTTTCATTTTACATTTAAATTTGAGAAATCAATTAAAACCGAATGAAATAAATGTGTTGGTCTATTAATTTTATTTAATTTAAGAGAATATTTATTTTACATTGGATTGACACATAACAGACAAAATTCAATACATAAAATCATTTTTTTTTTTTTTTTTTTTGAGTAATTTTGGAATAACATTTTACTATTATAAAAATATCAGTAAATAGTACTTTTTAAGGTTTGACATATAACGATTTTATTGATTGACTTTAAAAATAAAAAAAATTTATGTCAAATTTTCATAATTTATATAATGGGTAATTTTATTCCAAGATCACTAGCAACATAAAAAAAAAATGATTTAGGCATTTTATCTGTTATGTATAGGCTAGCAGTGAAAACAAATGGTGCGCTAATATTCTCTAAATTAATATTATTTATTTCACAAAAGTTAACATGATCATTAACCACTTATTTTTATTTTATTTAAAATTCTGTCTTTGTTGTATTATAAGTTATTAACTTCCATAAAATTCAATAAGAAAAAAAATTTAGTTTAAATCATATTTTATAGTTTGTTTTGCAGTCTTGTACTGTTATGTTTGATCAATGATTAATTATTTTTGTGGTTAATTTTATAGACCAAAAAAACGGAACCCAATAATTTTGGGGTTGGATCATTCTTAGAGAGGAAAACAAAATTAATTAATGAAGCTCGCCAACGATACATTAAGAAACATGGACTTCATCACTTAGTTTAGTGACTTACACCGATGTGTAGATAATGGCTAAAAAACATTGGTGTACTTTATTATCATTGTGAACATTTCCCAATTTAATTAATTTGAACGCTCTTTGTTTACTATTGTTTTTTTTTCTTATGGAAATGGAGCAGGTACTTATTGGATATTATAAAAGGCGTTTATCCTTTGTACTAATATTAACACAATTCTTATTAAATAAATAAATTACTATAGACAATATTTATGTATTATGTTATTTCCTATTGAAATTTTGTTATACATTTACTTCTTAAGTAAAAAACATTTATGTCATTTGATTGTATTCTTAACATGTTCATACATGATACATGTATAAATACTAAATATAACACGTACACGGATCAAGTAGTGTTGTTTTATGATATGTTTGTAAATCGATTTATTATTATAGTTAATCATTTTATTTTTATTTTTTTTTTTTTATTGATCTTATATTATTATTTTTTATATAAGTATGCATATTATATTTATCTAATAATATCATGTTTATGGTTATAAGGCTATTAACAACTTGTATTATATTTTAAAATAATAAACAATATACACGTTGATTCGCGCTTTACAAATGTTTTATTTTATTAAACATATCAGAGCGTACAAAGGGATCATTTAATGTCACTAAAACTAATACAATAAACCTTCAAAATGGATAAAAACAAAAACAAAATCAACAGTGCAGAGGAATAGAAGAGTGACCATTAAGTGTTTGAAAGGAGTAAACACGAGACAGTATTGAAAAAACGAATAATGCGTAATTTATATATTACTACACATTATAGTATATATGTTAATGGTATATGTACATATAGCACGTACTATGATACAATTTGTATAATTTTTTATATTGCTCTGGATACAAATATTTAATAATAATAATAATTAATTTTGATATAGTATTTAATCCCCTATTTACATTAACACGAGGTAATTATAATGAAAAAAAAAAACAATACATAATAATTTACATTATTATTGGAAAAATAATGTTACAGAGAGAGCCTAACAAAATATTCTCAATTGTAAGCATCAATAACATTTACTATTTAGACGAAACAAAAATTATTTTTAAGGCACCTTATATAATTATAAGACAAAGCTAGAATGCACTTACCCGAGATTATTATAATAGTAACATTAGGTTGTAATTTTTTTACCAAAAAGTTCTTTTATCATAGGTTCGACGTCGGAAATAAATCAACTGTTATTAACAGTGTTATCGAAACAAATTATGAGATTTAATATTTTTTACGATAAGCAAATATTTTTGAAGCCCATATCAATTACATTGATATTATAAATGTTTTTGAACTTTTTAAAATACTAATTGGTCTGGGAGATACATGATCCATTCAGTTAAATGTTTACTAAAACTTATTATATCAAATTGTAAAATTTTATGGAAACCGAGTTTATTGTTGTACTACAAATAAGCCACTGCATTATTCTTAAAGTCTAGTATTATAGAAAAAATTTTGTGTTGCAAAATGTACAACAGTTAGAAATTGTCTAGATAAATAAATTATACTATTGCAGTCACTTAAACTTTTTTTAAAAGACAGACAAGAATAAATGAATTTTACATAGTCTCTTACTAATTGAGCACACATTTTTTGCGTACAAGTGACTAACTTTGTATATAGTTCATTAAATCCATATGAAAAAACTACTCATTTGGTATATATTATAGTCCGCGACACAATAATTGACCAGTAACCCTAGTCATCCAACCGCCATAGACCAGCCATTAGCTATGCATTCTGAAACTCCACGGCAACATTGCAATGTTTATACAATAGGCACATAGCTTATGTTTTTTAAAACCACTGATTGGAAAATGGCTGCCAGGCACACTGGTCATTGGTCAGTTTTTGTGTCACAGACTTTAGATCTTAAATAATGTTTACAAATATAATCGCTGACATATTCAATACAAATAACATTTAAACATGAGAAGATATGTTGTCTTTATATGTTCTATAGATACAGTGGCATAAGTTTTTATGTTAAAACAAACAATAAACATATTATTCAAATCTAAAATTGTAGATTATTATAAATAAAAAACATAACATACATACAATATTAAAGTCATTAAGTATTATAGTCTCGGTTGGTACCAAACGATTCGACCAGCTAAACAACCAGATACGAGTAAAGGATGGACCGGCGAAAATTTGGTACAAAGTACAATGTTAGCATGAGAAACGTTTGTACCAATTTCATGAAGTTTTACACCTGGCAGTTTTGGAAGCAAAGTAGATAATTCATCACAATTTGGTGAAAATGATAATAGTCTAACCCCATGACTAAAGGGCGAGCATATAATACGCCCATCACTAGAATAACAGAGTTCTTTGATGTACCCTCTACCCACATTTGCCTCTTCAATAAAATGTGTAAGACGGTTAAAATTTTTATGTATTTTATGATTATGGGGAACCTGAAATCTATTCATACAATTCAGAACATAGTTGTTACGACGTTGCCTATTGCCAATAAACACCACAGTATCTGTACCAGTTCCTACTTCTACGGTATTACGTCTACTTGGCCGAGTGATATCAATTCTAGAACTTGAGGATAAATAACCACGCATTCTAATATCAGGTGCACGATTACCATTCCGATTAAATAATACTGTGACTAATCGCTCTGAAGAGGCATCATCATCTGCTATTATTTCCTCTACGTCGTCTTGGTCTTGATCTTGTAATCCAGTTGCACTACGTACGATCCGTACACCAGAATATGTTCCTAATATTCGCTCTCGTCCTTCTGAAATATTATTTTTAAATATTGATTATAAAGTAGTATATAAAATCAATATTTTAAAAAGAATATGATTAAAACACTTTGTTGTCTCAGAATATTATCTTATTTACATATTTCATCATAATAATTATTCTGTATTTTATAATTTCTCAAAATCCAAATTTGAGATTAATAGTAAAATTGAAAGAATATCATGCAAATTCTTACTTTTCAAAACTTTAAACACTTATTTATATTTATCTTATTTGTTCAATTTAAAATGTAAGTAATAAATACACTGTATACAAATTGTATAAAAATAAAAATAAAAAGTAAATCAATTTAAGTAATTATTTATTTAACAATTTAAAAATATGAAAGGTTTAACAATCAGATGTGTAAATCAATAATATTCTGAAATAAGAAATAGTTTTATAAAATTAATCTATAGTCTGTTCAGGTTAGGAGTGAACCACTACATGTAGACTGAACTACTGCCCAACAGACCCACCTGCAGTATAAGCTATTTACGTGTAAAAGCATGTATAAATATGACCAATATAATATGGTTTACTCATAATCTGAATAGACAATATAAGTAAGTACTGGTTTATTATTGCTTGACTTATTATTAACTAGGGGAATAACTGTAATTTATCAGTAAACATTTTCAATTTTATATTAAAATAACAAGATCGATCTGATCGATATCTAAAGGATTACAAAGAAAAAATGTGCAATACTTGTCTTAATAATTGATAAAAAAAAAAAATGTATAAGATCTCTGTGTAGTGTTAAGTAAACTTCATTATTGAGTAATTCACTGAAATGTATGTGTAAAATTTTAATTCAGTTATAAATAATTGCACATTAAAAACGGTTCTGAGCTAAGGCTGTCTATATTACTAGGTAAATTTAATGAGATGTTTTTTGATATTGCTATTAAAGTAATTTATTTAATTATAATAGGTTAATTTAATTTCTGAAAACAGAATTTATTTTATTATTATAATAGTATAGGTATATTAATATTATTTAATGTTGATTTCAACATTTTTATCAGTATAGTCTTACCATTAAACAGAGTGAAAAGGTTTGTGATATAAAATATAATATTATAAGCAAGTTTCAAGTCTTCACAAATAATATTTTTGAATTACAAAAAATAATTAAAATTGTTATTTTTTAATTAAATACCTACCTAATGTTATTCAAATTTGAACTTCTAATGTCTAGTCTATATTAAAATTTATAATAAAATATTTATTTTTTAGATTTTTTGGATACAATATGAGCTATTTATGAGAAACCTTGTTGCTGTAGTTTTAGTACTAAATATTTCTCACTCTAAGTCATAATTTATGGATAATGTGAGTTGTAAAATTAATTAACATAATTGAATTGATTAATAAAAAATAGTACTTATAAGTAAATATATTTGATTTTAATATTTAATAGTATACTATACATGCCTGATAAATATCTTAAACTTCTTATGCGATTACCACTATTGACATTCATCATCGCTTCCCATAAGTCAGCTTGGCGGTTACCTCTTGTTGGTCCTAACACAGAAAATGGTATCATACTACTTATGCCAACATTTATATCTCGAGGAATCACAACATGTGTACGTCGGTGAAGTCTTCCCTCCCTAAAAAATGGAAAGAAATGTATAATTCACTTTCAAAATGTATTTTTAATTATTAATTACATTGGGTCGTCAGCTAAAGAATGTTCTAATGAGTTTGCTTCTTCAGAATTTAGTTCTTCAGGTTCATTTTGTTGTTTAGGAACAGCAAAGTCTTGTATATCATGTACACATGTCCATTCAGATTGTTCATCAGTGGTAACATTTCTGCTTAATACATTCCAACCTTGTGGATGCACCTGATGATAAAATATTTATAGATTAAATAATTTAGATAAAAAAAGTGTGTATATATAAATAAATGTATTACCTGGATAGAAGATATTATTTCAGCATCATCATTTCTTGGAAAATCTACAATGAATTCAACACGATTTCGTTTACGAGTAAACATGTGTGTGTGTGCAGCTGCATTAGGAATGGTAGTTTTACTCAGTTGCATCAAACGATACATATTTGGCTAGACATAATATTAAACAGTATTTAAAATATTGATAAAATGAAAAAGTAGAAAAATAATTTTAAGTAAGTTTTAATTTTATACTAAGCTCTAAGCAAATAAGTAATAATTTTTGTGAAATTATTTATTGTAAATATTATAAAAAACAAATATTTAAATTATGATATTAAATATAGAAATTAGGTATATATTTAGAATATAATTATATATTATTTTTCTTATCAAATTAATTAATGTTACTATAGTTATTAATTTTAAGTATAAAAATTCATCTGGAAAATTTCTAGCCCATTATTAACACAAGGTTATTATTAATTCAATAAATAATTTTGCTTAAATTTAAATTGCACTATTATGCTAAATAAAAAAACTTATAATATAGATATTTTATACACAAAAATTACTTTGAATCCTTGAATATCTGCACCAAGTGTTTCCAAGTCTAAATTATTTATAAGTAATATGAAGCCACTTGTTGTACAAATAATTAACTTGCTAGAATCAGGAAGAAGTTTAATACGCATAAGCCCATTAATGTGACATACAGAGTTATTAGGAACTCTTCCTTCTTCTGAGTAACTACATCAAAACAAATAATAGTTTTTGTTAAATACAATTCATGAATATTTATTACTGACAGACAAAAAATATTTTTACCTATTAATATCCCATGTGTAAATTTGCCCATCAAATCCACTAGAAACAAGTAAATTGTCTTTTGCTGAATATTCAATACTTTTTACCCAATTGCAATGCCCTCTCAATACCCTAATATTGTCTTTAAGATTTCGAACATCCCATAATGCTATTGTTGTATCATCACTACAAGTTGCAAACATTCTAGAATCTAAAAACCTAAAATAAATAATAGATACATAATTTAAATAACTAATATAAAGAAAATACATTTAAAAACTTTATAAATACACATATACAGTTAAATGTAATAAGATAAAAATTAAATTAAATTAATATTATTAAACTATCAAAAAAATGTTTTTAAATTTTAAAAATTGTATTATTTTTAACTCTATTTTGCTGCAAATTAATATTTAAAGCAAAATATTAATTTATTAATATAAAAAAAAAAGTGATATAAATGTAAAAATATAAAGATGTTCACATAAGTTTGCTTGGATTTATTTTATTTATAGATAAAAAAAACAAATGTTGACGATAGGTAAGGTTAATTTTAATTTCCAATTATACATAATTTCATAGAATAAATATGTTTATAATTAGGTACTTAAATGAAAACAATTAAAATATTGTATCATAAGACATAAGTTATGTTTTCTTTTAGCTATAATAATATACATAACAGGATACTTTTCCTATGTTTAACTTTTTTTTTATAAAAAGAATATTATAGAATTACAAATATTGAGTACTTACTTTATACAATTAACACAATCATTATGTGCTTTTTTTATTGATGTTATATACTTTTGAGTTACAGGATCAAATAACATAATGCTTTTTTTTTCACATGCTGCTGCCAATATTTTTCTAGAAAACATGGTGAATTATCATTAAATAATTTATTCTTATTATTTATAAAACATTAAAAATTTTAAAAAATATCATAATTTGCAATTTTAACTTGTTTTATAGAAAATTATATTTTTATAATAAACCATATATAATCAGGTATATTAAATTTATTTTAACTGTAAGATTTATAAAAATATTACTATGACTAAAAATGTTTTAACTAAAGGTTAAGGTTATTATTAGTATTAGTCATTTGATGATGTATAAATATATAAATATATATATATATGAATACCTCTATTATATATATAATTGACCATGATCGGAAAGGTTATTAGTTTTTTTTTTAGAATATTTAAATGATATAATAACAATAATAGCATGTGGATTAGGTATCATCAAAAATCATATATTTATTAATTCCCAATTTAAAATTTAAAAACATGTTTTAAATGTACTTACCAAACACAGATCTAATACAATGATAATACAGAAATAGTTGTAAACAAATTTATAGAAGTTTTAAATATTGAAAAAGGAAATAGAAAATGCTCCTAATAGTATTTTCTAAAAGATTTAAAATTAAATTGTTTACAGTTTTTTAAATATATCTTTATAAAATTCCATCAATAAATAGTTTCTTCAATAAAGACTCCTAATCCATCACTTGTACTAATTCACTAACTGTATACACTGCTATGTATATCTACAATTATCAAAACACTGAATCAAAACAAAACAAAAAGGGCTTGATAATACAACTGCTTTTTTTATTATTATTGAAAAATAGAAGGAAAAAGACAAACTATACACATAATTTATACAATAAGTAATTGGGATAACAATAGTAAATAATACTAAACATAACATGAGTCACTTGATAGGGGAAGTCACCCACTGGTAATAATTCATAAAAAATTTCTTAGATTAAATTATTAATCTAGGTGTGAAGAAAGTAATTGTATAGTTCTAAGTTTTTTTGTCAGAGTATTAAGTAGCAATTTCAGTTTCTTTTCAGTCTGCATGAAGAATGATCAGAGATAAGATTTGAGGACATTTTTTGAATTAAGGAGTTGATATTTGTAGGCAGTTTTATGTAATAAGATTTGTAGTGGTGCTTTGAAAGAAAATTTACTGTTTCTATTTGTAAGTTGTTAATTAAAGATAGATTTGTTATGAACAGGGTGCACCAGTGATGGTACAAAGGGTTATATCTTGGAATGACTGGATGGGGTGAATGTTTGAAGATTTGGCTGGCTCCCAAATTTGAATAACATAGGACCAAAGTGGTTTAATAGTGAAAGTATTTTTAATTTGAGTTTGAGTATGGACTTAGGAGAGGTCGAAAAGCTGGAGTCTGCTATTCATGATTTTTCTTACGTTTTTGAGGCGAGAGCACCAAGTTAGACGTTTGTCAAGTAAAATGTCAAGATATTTAAGAAACATATTGTGATAGCATTGACACACCAATTATGTACAACTAATTGGCCATAAGAATAATAACTTTGAGAATATTTTAAAAAAGGTAAAAAATAGATAGAATGCTTACCCATCTGGGGAGAATTCCAAATTAAATATACCAGCAGGATTGGTGATGTCATTGTTTGAAACATCGTATTCCCACTTAGCGATGGGATATATGGATGTATACATTTCGCAGTGTAAACGACTTTGATCACCATACTTGGGTCTGAAGCCATACTCACGATTACGCAAATACGTGTCACGGAAGTTAGAGGTACGTCTGCGTTTGACGCTCTGTAAACCATCCGGATCGTAATATGTCGTACTCATGACGACGATGACGACAGCGACGAGGCTGTTAATGCATACGATCAACGTACATGAAACCAAGCGCCAAATAGTTGGGACAGACGAATCACTGCTAAGTGTACTTAGCGAAATCAAAACTTTTCAAAAATTGTCGACGACAAGTGGGTTCACGACTCGTGACAAAGGAGAGGACTAAAAACAAACGATAATCTCGCAAAATGGTCGCGGTAAGGGGTTCGACGTTAACTTTTCATGTTGAGCGTACCAGCAATATCGACTTTGCGCAATAGAAATCGAGAGTAAGACCAGAGTAGTGGCTATCAGCGAAAAAATAATATAACTTTTCGTTATCAACGGTACCGTGTCGTTATCAGTTTATCAAAATCGCGATCCGATGGTGCGTTTCGTCGCCCGTCAGTCGTCCATACGACCGTACTACAATACTCCCATGGTCCACGCCGCCGCCGCCGCCGCCCATGCCGTCGAAATCGAAAACAATCTCGAACGTGTGAAACGTCGACGACAATATTATTTATAACGATTACTAAATTTGTTGCCTATACCGATCTACGAATAATTATTACGGTCAACACGCTCGGAAATGTATACAAACAACGACGACGAAATACCACGGGAAACACGCGCCGCCGATTCGTCGACGAATTGAGCACGTTCGTCGGTGGGTCGATTCGACGCTGTCACGCCGATTGGAGGTGGCGTGCGCCGTCCACTACTATCCACAAAACCGCGACCGAACGGAGCGGAGTGTACTGTTTCCCGTTTGATTCTCGACAACAGCTGCGACCGCGACGACGGCGGAGTCGGTGAAAATACGCTTACGCAACACGCGACGAGCCCGACGGACGTGTGCGGCGTACGCCGTGTCGCAATCCAATAGCAATATTAATAATAATACTGTAATAACGCCCGCGACGAAGACGTCGTCGAACGCGTCGTATTTTCAGGCGTAATGGAATATCGGGGTCGCGGCACGACAAACGGGGCGATCGGGTCGTTTAAAAAATCTATAAAGTATATTAAATAAAAACCGTCGGGGCCGTATCGACGCGGATGGGTAATCGATTTTTTCGTGCGCCAAACGAGTTTGGGCGACTACTTGTTTTTTCGAGGATCGTCGAAAACAATGTTTTGTTATTACCGCGGCGCGGAGAGCGAAAAAAAAAACGCCAAATTGGAAAGTGTGGCGCGTTTTAACCGACGTCGCGGATAATATATTGTATTATTATTTATTATACTATTCATGCACGCTCGCCGTGCTGTGTGTTACGACTGCGATGTACCATGTACGCGCAATATTGTATTAATTATTTATAATTATTTTTTGGTCACGCTGAAATACCAATAATTGTTCTTATTATTGCTAATTAGTAATTACTAATTTGATGATAAATTCCGGTTATTTACTATTATTGTCGGCACGAGTAGGGGTTTCCGTTGATCGATCGGAACAACAATAATATTAGCTATAGGTATATGAACGCCGTTGCACAATGCGCCCGCCAATAAGTTTATAAATACAAACATTGTGATCGTGAGCTACACGCCGACTTCCAATGTCGACTTTGCCGTATTTATATATCCGATATCGAACAGCTTTGGCGCGGTACCCTTTACCCGTAAGCCACTCACACATAATTTAATATAGTTGTTATTATCTATGTTTGTTTATTTATCTATAACTGTTGAGTAAGATTTAATATTTTGATTTCTCTATATTCGTTATTGGCTGTTGCAAGTTGCAATATTTTCAAAACTTAATTGTTATAATTGCATAGAACTGAATGAGCATCACGAGTGAATTTATCGATACACATAAAACCGGTGCAACAATTTAACTTCGGGACTTCGAAAATATTTTGAAAAATAATATTCTGCAGATTAAAGAGTGATGAATGATGATAATATATAATGCTAAAAAGGTCTAGGATTCCTGAGATATAATTTTAATTATGAAACCCATGTTCTTATTCTTAACGACGTTTATAAGTTCAGTTTATAATTAATGCCCTTTTATAATGTGATATGTGTATTGTATAACTGTATAAGCTGTGTCCACACCTAGCAAACATATACGTCTGAGGAAACATAATTTGTTAAATGTTTGTTGAATAGTTTTTCAAAAAAACATACATTTTATTTATTCACTTAAATATTTGCTCATTTCATTAATCTACCAATTATAATTATAGCTTCTGCAGAGCAAATTGCGTGTGTAGGAGCTACGTTCATAATTATTCATAATTACTATAAAAATTAAAATAAGTATAGAAGTAAAAGACGATGGTGAGTATTGAACAAATAAGAAATAAGATACTGGCTACCAACTAACAAATATTATATCATTTAAATGTGTAAAATAAATACAACGTATTTCTACAAAATGTGCATTAAGAGTATTATGACTGATTAGTGATTCGTCCAATTCGACTGATTCATTTATGGCTGGCCAGCTATCGGTTTTCCTGTTTTTATTTAAATATATATAAATAGTACTTGGGCACTTAATATAAGCAACTGATATTATTTGGATTATGTTGATTAAAAACTGATATAGAAGGTTTGCGCTTGTCTTCAAAATTTCCAGATTTTATTATTAGCGTAGGTACGAGTTTCCTATACATAATAAAATGTTCACAAATAGCTCATGGGTATTATTAGTTTTATTTACGAATAATAATTACTGTTTATTTTATATTGATTAAAGATAATTCAGTAGTGGTTTTGAATGTTTTGAATTATTGACTTCAAGAAGAGAGCGATCACTCCTCCCCAAGTGTATACTGTTACCTCAAATTAAAAAATAATACATAGATATTAAATAAACAAGTTATTTGAAATAACTTTCAAAAAATGAATGCCATAATGTTCGAATAATTAGCGAACAATTTTATTCAGGATATTGATGAACAAAATTGTTTTGAACACGTCTATATCGATTATCGACCAAACGTTTGTAAAATGTTAATTAGGTGTGGATGCTATATTGTACCTATAAAATACTTCTCTGGATCTCGAACCTCTTTAATTATGTCTTAATCCTTAGAAGTGGTTAAATAGAGCAATAATAACGAATGAATAGGATTAATATAATATTGTAATCATCATAAGGATTTGATATTATTAAAACATTACCTTGGTTAATAATAGGTTGGCATATTATTATTTATGATAAATTATAACATTTTAAACCACATTTCACACGTTGTTGCTGCATAATTCGTGATATAACCAATAGAGTATAGAACTAGGTTATTTTTTTTATCATAGAATTATTGTTACTTATTTGGTATTGTGATTTGTGAATGGATGAGTGGGGTATATATTGTATACACAATATTATAAATACTTCGGAAGGACATTGTATCACATTTTCAAACCTTAAATATTTAAATAAAATTGAAAATGAAATTAAGTTTTAAATATAATATAGAATTTTGAATCTGTATCTACCAAAGTCTAAAGTAAAATATATATTCGTATTTTTATCTATAATTAATAATTATTAACTACAACCTAATAGATAGTGTTCTGTGTTATAATATGATAATTATGAAATTAGACAAAATAATAGCTTATTATATTATAGCTTTAACATCTATATAAATGAAACATTAAATATTTAAATCTATGAATTACGAAGAGTAAGTCTCGGTTAGATGGTTTTATACAAAAAAAAAAAAATAATTAATTTTTTCATAAATATTTTAATTACATGGTCCATTAATTAAAAAATGATTATTTAAGAACAGCCGTTATGAATTATGATTATACTTCAACAAATGTACTGAAATAATATTAATTACAATTGAATTTCCTTGAGTGGGATGAAATTCAATCACTGCAGAATGAACGGGGAAGTAAAAATTAATTTATTCGTCTATTGATTTTACACATTTTAGTCATATTATTTATCAATGAAACTTGAATGAGTATGTTATAAACTACACAATCGTGTAAAAATAAATGCAAAATTATTTATATCCATCGCGACTATCTTGTATTATTAATAAATGGAGTGTATTGAATAATTCATATTTGTTTGGACTTAGGTGATAAATATTGTACATTGTACATATAATACATATACAAGTATATATATGCTGTATTAAAATAATTTGTCAATTTGTCTACGGTTTAAAAAAAATTAATATTATAATATACTGTGCGTTGCGGAGCATAATAATATTATGTAACCAAAGTATTATACTTTAATATTACTACAATCTACAGATTTGGCTAAAATACGTTTTTCCGTGCCATTGCATTTGAATAATTTGTGAAAAAGTTCGCTATATAATCGAACTGTTTTTCGTTTATGTTTGTTGTGCGACAATTCGTGAATAAGGCAGTTCTTACTTTAATGAAAAATTTACATCAATTTAACTATCTAAAATGTATTATTATAATAAAAAATTATAATTTTATTTATGTATAAAATAGTGAGCTTTGTAATGGAATTTTTTTTTTACCACTTTTGTATATTTTTGTTGCTTCAAAATTTGAAAAATTGGACACTCGCCCTTTTTGAATTTTCATGGATTAATCAATCTAATTACTTATTGGTAGTTTAGTTCTTATGTACCAACTAGCGTGTCAAGGTCTGAGTTCTAACGGGTCAATACTCGATACGTATCGCTAAAATATCGTACAATTTGTACATTAGTACATGCAACTTTCTGAACTATCGATTTTGAGCCCATACGTATCGTTAATACACCTATATGGCTATACTCGTATTTCTTCCTTAAAAAGTTGAATTGTACCTTACGTGTTCTACTATTACAGCGATCGAGCAATTGTTTTTGGTTTTCAGTACCTACCGTTAATTATTTTTCTCACGCTCACACTTAGGTGTCGGCGTGTCGCATAATATAACTTTATTGTTTACTCCGAATTTTCATAACAACGGTGTATCATCGTTTGAAACCGATTTTTGGTAGGTATACCACGACAAATCTACATATTGCACTTTTTTATAAGATTGTCACTACTCAAAAATTAAGTTTTAATAAAATTCAATTTGAAAATATTATTTGCTTTCAAAGTCTCAAATGATTATATTTGAAGCTTTAGTTTTAATTCTTTAAATTTACCAATGTTACCCAAAGCTTATTATTTTTATATTAATTTACTTATTCTACTTAGTTGAAGCACAGTTAGACATAGGAAAATGAGGTTATAGCACTTTCGGAAGAAGCGGAATAATAAAATTGCCATATTTAGTTTTGTGTCGCCACATTATTAATTAATTGTCATATAACTATAATCAATACTGTCATCATTAAGATTTTAGGTAATAAAACTAAAGGTGATAAATGATAATATTCATTACTGCCATAAACTGAAATGTTGCAGTTTTTATTTTTTCGTGGATAGACACCTAGTTGAGAATTTTAAGCTGAAATGCCTCAAATTATTATGAAGCAACCATAATTTTTCATGTTAATTATTCAAACAAACATACAATTGTTAACAAAACAAATTCGACAGAAAAAAAATCATACTGAGGAAATGGTGTACATTTGATTACTTATCTACGATTGTCGTAATCTCTTGTTGTCATCTGTTACGACTAAAGGTATATGGTTTCGTTTCTGATTGAAAATTTTAAAACGAGATTTCGGGACTCGGCGATTTTGTTCACACCTGTCGTCGTTCGTGACGATGTCTATCGATCACCTTACATCGGATATAAATCTGAGTGTACGTTTATCTTTAACTCGAATTCTGATGCACAATTTATTCTTATTATCAGTCGTCAACAATTACGTTTTACCATAATTTTATGCTTAAAAACGTATACAACATGTTCAATAAGTTAAAAAAAAAGTGGCCAGGATTTACATTTGTTTTCGATTTACCACTTAACCTGTACTATCAAATATTAGCATCCCAAATTTATATGATTGCCAATGGTATAGGACCTATGTTATAGGTCATTGGACTTGTAAGGTATCACAAAAACTATGTGTTTAATAAAAAAAATTAAATATTTTATAAAATTTAAACATGGAATCTTCTTTGGAAATCACTCTAAATGATTATATTTTTATAAATTATAATGTTTTAAAATATAATTTATAAAATAAAATAATGAACTTGGATTTTGTATTTTTGATTTATACAATAAAAATGATAAGTTTGTTTAGAAATAAAACAAATATATTCAAAATTGTTATATTTGAGATATTTAAATCAAGTTTAAATACTTTGCACGAATAAATTATAACTATATAACATTTTTCTTAATCAAAATTGTACTAAATTAAAAATAACTGGTGACTATGATAAATTTTTTAGATTATTATTTTTTAAATAATAATATGTTAGTTAAAAATGAGTAAACCACTGTTTGACATAATTTTTTTTGCAATTTGTTTATCGCTTTTATACTTGAAGGTTGTTGAAAGTATACCAACTGTAGTGAAAATTGAAAAATGACCGTTTTGAAGTCCCGAGTCAGACAACATTTTTGATCTAAAAAGTTTCTACGTACAACTTTCAGAATACTCCTTCTGATCTAAATTAGTGATTATAAAAGTATAAAAAAATAAAAACTCATCAACTGGGTTGATTCAACTCATCTTTGTAAAACCTACTACACGTAATCACATTGTTAGAAATAAGTTTACGATTGTATTGTAATATATATAAAACGTAAAAATTAAATTACTGTTTTTTTTTTTTTTTTTTAGAGGAATTATGTTTATAATATCATAAATTGAACACAATATTTCCTAAACTTTTATAATGGTATTATAATACAATACTGCTTCAGAATGATTCATTAAGCATATTTACACTAATTTTTATTTAATAATAAATTTAGTCAAATTCTGATTTTTAGAATTTTTAAATAAGCTTTAGAACTATATTTTCAAATCTTTAGATTTTTATGTATATATAATTTAAGGAGTGACCTAATGTGGTGAATCCAACTTTTTTCGCAAACGAGAATAATGATAAAATAAATTGAAAAATGCATTTTTTGAAAATATTTATTTATATAAATCAAAATTTCAATCAGTAATTCTTGAATTAATAAAGTTTAGGTATACTAAGGATAATATTTTATAAGAGTTTTAGACGATTAGAGGCTTTAATGATTTAAAAATGAATCTCATTTTGTATCCACCGAATCAATTTATAGACTTAAATTAAGATGGGGTGATTATAATTTAAAAAAAAAAATTTGTATCGCCATTTAGCAGTAATAGGTATTTCTTAAATGACAAAAGTTAAGTATTTTAAAATATAATATTTAAGTATTCTTAAAAATCAAAGTATTAATGATTGATGACAAATGATAAACAAATATGTTTTCATAATATTAATGATTTCGTAAAATGTAATTAATGATATTTTATATTGTAGGTACAAATGAAAAATTGTTATTATTTATTTATTTTATTTTTTTAATCAATAGTAGTATTATTTAAATCATTCAAAATATAGAAGAATTGAAGTCTAAAATAAATAAATAGACATATTTTTGTATTTATAAACGTGTTACTTTAATGGCATAATTTAAGCCGAATAAAAAAAAAGTACTTATATTATAATGTAATAAACTATTAAACTTATAACAAATAGTTTTTTAAAAATAATTAAAGTGCAACAAACTAATAAGTAAATGTTTGTAAAAAAAATATATTTACTACTATATTTAATACTAATTTTTAATATAACATTATTTTATTTAATATAGTAAGTTTATGGTATAACGCCGATAGGGCAAATACGATGGCATTAATGTATAAAATATATAAATAGATCATTATCTACTATATATTATTATAAAACAAGTATTCCAGTAGTTTGATATAATTCCATGGTGTTTTCGGTGTTCGCTTTGTTTTTGTAGTTTACGTTTTCGGTTGTAGTGACAATCGTATTTTGTGGTTCCTTGGTGTCTTCTTTTGTCATGACGTCTTCGTGCTTAACCATAGGTTTTCTGGATATTAATTTTTTGCTCATTTTCTTTTCGTAATGCCTGACCGTCGCCGTTTCATCAAAATCGCCTACAGGGCCACTGATATCTTTATCAGACCTTTCTTGTAGAATACCACTACCACCGGGTAATATTGGTATAAAACCACCCTCAACTACCACGGTATTTGGGTTGAAACCACCTTGGGATTGGTGTTTTTGTACTTCGGTTTCTTGTCTGCTCTGAATTGGTATATATGATTGACCAGTTACTTGTTGAATTTTCGGGTGTTTGGATGAGGAATACGACACCGAAACAGACTGCGACACCGAAGTACTGGGTTGTTGGATTAGTGGTTGCTGTTGCTGATAAAACATTGGTTTTTGTTGCTGATAGAACATTGGCTGCTGCAGCTGTTGTGGTTGCTGTTGCTGTTGGAAATAATTGGGATAGACTGAGAGCATGGGCTGCGAAATAGGTGGCACCGGACTGTAGTTGCTTACTAAAGGTAATGGTGATTGTGTGTTAAACTTGTAAACGGGTTTCTTGAATACGACAGAATGATGAGCACCATTAGGCATGGGTCCATTTGGTGGTAACCTCTTACCCGATACCCTATAACCATGTTTAACAGCAACTGGCTGTTTAGGAGTGAAGACTATTTGTGACGGATGTTGGTCTGGAAGAATATTGGGTTGTACTTGGAAATTTGGAATGACCGGCTGTCTTATGGGTCTATAATTATTATTGTTAACATTATATGACGGTAACATATAATTATAAGTAGGAGATGTCACAGGTTGTGGACTGCCGTAATGAAATTTCGGCATATAAAACGGCACGTTCCCATATGTATAATTTGAGTTTGGATATGTGTAAAGAGTATTTTGTTGTAATGTAGTTGGCGGAAATTTGTAGTTATTATTAACAAATTGATCACGATTATTTGAAGACTTATAAAAATCGGTTTTAAGATTTTCTTCCAACGCGGTGGGAATTAATGGCATATTATACCCTTTGTGATCTGATTGTAAATCGATGTTATTCCTCAAAGGTTCATTTTTACTAAAATACTGTTTATTCTCAATATCTGGTTTCACTCTAGTTGTGTATTGAATGCTACCCCTAGACTGTAAATCTTCTGAAACAGGCGCACTATGCTCAGAGTTGGGCTGATCTTTATCACATGCATCCAATACGTTAATTTTCCAACCTAAGTGACGATGTGTAAAACACTAAAAAAACAAAATAATTAGTAAAAATGAGAAATTTTTTGAAATAATTTGATAAGCTTTTAACATACTAAAAAAAAAATAAAAAAATAAAATAAATAAAGTGTATAATAAAAATTATAATCAACTACATTTTTAATAAATAAAAATATTGAATTAAATAATATTATAACTGTTTCAAAATATTTAGTTAATTTACTGAATTTATAGACGAATTTGGGTTTTTTTTAAAAATAAATACGCAAATACTTTTATATTTTAAATTAATAAATTATATGAATTACTTGGTAATAAACGGTGTCTGGTGTGTCCGCATCTGGAGTCCATTGTACTATTCCAGGATCTCCGTTATCACATGCCAGGCTTAGAGTTCTTTGATAAGCTCCAAAGGAAACAAATTCATCTGCAGAAGGCTGTTGTGGATCTGGAGTCCAATTGCATAAACGACCAATACCTGTTGGGATTACTTCTCCTGATTTGCTAACGCTTACACCGGCAAATATTCGTATGTTCTGTTAAATAAAAGATTAAATTAATAAAAAGATAAATTATAAATACTGCACTTACATCAAGTGTAAATTAGTTTAATAAAACACGATTATAACGTGGGCACTAAAAAATAATTACATCTCTTTCTTCGGCTGTTTTGTAACCATAACCGCCAACAGGATCATCAGTAATATAAAATGGGTGGTATTTCGCTGGTATTTCTGGATCTAATCCACCTTCAACTACAAATGTGTATGTTTGTCCTCTAACGACATTTATTTCTGGTATGAGTAATCCGTTTATGTACCATGAAATTCCCCATCCAACGTGTCCTATGTAAAAATTTAATAAAACATTAGTCACTTATAATTCATAAATATAAGTGCTTACGTAGTTTATTTTTGTATTTTTATATAAATGATAAGCAATAACAGACCTGTAATAGCAGAATATCCGTGTTTTCCTCCCGTAGGACCCATTTGAGCATAGAAAACACCATCGTCTGGTTCGTAACATTGAATGGCTGGGATATCCCATGCAACATTCTTTTCTACCGGAGCAGGTTTGGGAACTGGACGAGGGCGAATTTTTTTAGTAGGGGTTACCTGAAAAATATATATTTGTACATGATAAGCTTACTTACCGGAATAAAATTTATATAAAAATCATATTAACCTCTTTTATTGAACTTTGACTGGTCGCAGTAAAATCTGATGAACTTTTTACGGTTGTAACTTCGTTATGAACTGTAACTGATTTAGTATCTGTATCTGGTATAGGGCAATTCCATTCTGGTAAACGGCCAAAATCAATTTTTATTGTTTCTGTAATAAATACAAAAATATATAAGTTAGTTTACAATCATAATCCTTGTACTAATAAGTTATAATTTTGAAAATAAATTATAAATAAAAATGTGTCAAAAATTATAATTTATTGTTTTTTAAATATTATAATTATTATCGATTATGTATTCATTTTTATAAGCTTTAAGATACTTTTTAGAATTCATAAAATATTAAAATTATGACAATCAAAAGAAAAAATAAGAACAACGTTTAATCATAAAAATAAAAGGGCCCCTTAAACTTTAGAAAAAATTTAAACTTATAGTATTAAGAACGTATGAAATGTAAGCCAAGAATAGTTATGATGTTTTTAGTGGGTTTTCCGGGGGTATAATACTTTGATATATTATATATATTACTTTATAAATTCAGTCGTTTCAGCCTATGGCGTACTAGGATTTTAAAAATAATACAGACTTCTGCATTAAATAAAATAATATATAGTAGGTAAATCAAGTATAACAATTTTTTTCTGCAAGGATTTATATGAAATGTGGGCATATTTAATTTGTTAGCGTCCACAATAATATAATGTTACACAAGAAAAATATGGTACAGTGACGGTTCTAATCTCGACGTGTATCCTTTGTATGCATATAACAATAGAAATACGGTTATTGAATGTGTTCGATGTCAATGTATGATTATGATTATCCGTGTATATACCAATATAAGTATAGATAGATACACAATACACAATAAAGTTCATTGGGTATGAATACGGATGTAATATGTATCATATTCACCAATATATCTTCATAAAATGATTATTACTTATAGCTTAAATAATAATAACAAAACATACTGATGAAAGGTTTAAATGTATAATGTTAGTTACTAATAAATAAATACCTTTTGAGAATATTGGATGATATGAAACCTCGTGTTTATCATTCAAAGGACCGACTGCCCAAATTATTGGTTGGCTGTTATTGGTTAATATTGGTAAGTCAAGATTATCTTTTGACTTTAATGGCCTCTGGTATGTGACTATCGAATATCCATTGACTATTGCCGCATTTAATAAACGAACACTTTCACCGGCCGGGCCCTAGGAAATATTATATTATTTTTAAATATATTTGTGTCACATTATTATGCACGTGAACAAACTTTAATCAAATCAGAAAATTTTAAATTATCAGTGTTAAATCAATATAAATTAGTTTATGTAATTGATGCTTTAATAAAATTTAATAATTTAAACTAGATTCAAACATAAGCTAACTTTATTATGTATGTATATACAGTATACACATAATATAATACAAATAATATAAATATAATACTAAGTACTAACTACTAATGATAAATGAACTTTAATAAAATAACATCCTTTCTTGAGAGAGCATCAAATATTTAATTATGTTAAATTTGTTATTTGTATACCTGAATATTTGAATCGGGACAACTACCGCTGACTTGTCCAGTATCTTGTTGTACAATGCACTGTGATTTATCCAATAAATAATAATCTTGAGCAAAGCCACTGATTGTGGTTTGATCTACTCCAGCTACAACTACGTCACCTCCAATCATGCGATTTGATGTAGGTGAACCAGATATACCAAAAGACATGTATTGGTTGATTTCTAAAAATCAACAGTATTTGCATTAAGTAATAATGAATTACATGACCAATACAATAAAAACGCTGAATTTTAAATGTAATTACGTTGGATAAAAATATTATTGAATTTAATGGAAGATGAGATATAAATTTTTTTTTTTGTCAAAAGTATTTTTGAATTGTATCTCAGGATATTACAATAGAATATTGATCATAAAAAATGGCATTAATAAAAATAAATAAAATATAAATTTATTCTTTTTTATTACTTATTTTGTATTAAAAATACATTTTTAATGAAAGTTTATTTAAAATTTTAATTTTATTAATGTACCAATATTGTTAAAAATACGGTATAGGCAAATAAAGTGTGTATTTTCAATAAATTTTACTGTGATTACTAATAAGTATAATATAATACTTACTATTATAAAATACGTATAACTAACTAGTAGTTAACTAATTGTTTATTACTAAGTAATTAAAAATAAGTAGATTTAATATTCTTGATTATTTTTCATTAGATATACAAGGTATAGAAACAAGATGGATAAATGTTAATTTATGTTTTAATTAAATTTAATCAATAGAAGCGCCTCACTTTTAGATACTGAACATTTTAAGATAATGACTTTTCTTAATAAATTTTACTTTCATTCAAAATGAGATTTCATGATAAATTTTTTAGGATAATTTTTAATTATTTATGGCACCTAGTAAAAATATACAATAAAAATAAACTATTATTCTATTTCTACCGAATTAGCTTATAATAATTAATAATTGCCTAATAAATAAAAAAAACCGGGCGCATTATATGAGAATAGTAAATCATGTTTAAAATTCACAACTTTGATTATGTAGTAGTTTGGTAGGAAAAGTGTGAGAAATATTGTTGATTAAAGCAATAATAATTCGTGATATGCCAAGATTGTGTAAGGTAATAACTAATATTAGATCAACGATTGAAAATCGTGACGATAAATATTTAAAAACGATTTTAATTTACTATATTAGTAGTTTTGTAAATAACATTTAAACTTAATTAAAATAAATACATATATATATTTTCAAATTTCTGTCGAAAATCAGATTAGTTATAGTCTATAGATAATAATTAATTAATATCAATATTCAATATTGACGATATTCTTTATTTTAGTATTTGTATGAAATGTTAAAGTATTTAGTTTGTAAAATACCCAAATTTTATTGTTTAAATACTTTAAAATATTTAATTAAATACAATAAGTTATAATTATTTTAATAAAAGGAATTATAATTTCATTTTAAAAATATAAACACAATAATCATTCCCTTTAGTTATTTCACCGCGTAGAGTGAATCACGGATTTCGTTTTCCTTTTATGTGCTTCAAATTTATTTTATATTCAATATTTTATTACTTGTACTTATTAAATACAACATATGTGCAATTTTGATATTCATTATGTTGTAAAAATATATCTTCTAATAAAACTTTTTATAAAATTTTAAAAATGTGGAGCTTATAATGCACGCATATTATTAAGAAATCGAGTTTTAAATTAAGATTAAAATCGAAACAAAAATCATGTACTTACCTATATTATATATTTAATAAATTACAAATCGTAATATTTTACATAACTTACCTAACTTAGCGACCAGTTGAACTACAATGCTATCACCTGCTATTGCCCAACGTACTTCGTATCCTAAAGGTTCATGGAGTACTTCACAGTTTAATTTTGACTAAAACAAAATAACATATATTGAAAATATGTATAATCATATTCTCATAATAATAAATAATGTTATATTTTAATGTATGTAGAATTAAACATGAATAATGTATATAAATCATAAATGTTTATATTTACAAACGATCGTGATGGAATGTACCTCATATGTAACAGCGCGCAGATATAATTTTCTATTTTAATATGATATATTATCATATGCATACTCGTTATTATCGTAATAAATATTTCTTAGATTTAATTGTATTAGCTGGCCATTATTTGTTTTTATTTTTTTTTATTTTTGAGTTGTATAAACTATATGTTGTATATTTGATGGTTCGTGAATTAAAAGCGTACATATTTAATTGTAAATAATATATCTTATGGATAACTGTTACATGGTATAATACATTATAGTATGATAAATGTAATACTACTTTGGGATTTTTTAACTGTATTATAATTTATTGCAGATATGTTGATAAAAGTTAAACATAATACATTGTTCACTTATTTAACACTGAGATGTACCTACACGTGTATATTGAGTTTTTTAACCTATCTAGGTTATAATAGTTTTTAAATATAATATACCTATCTAAAACATTTTACAACCATTATAAAGCTGTACAATTTTCAATTTAACCACATTTGTTTAGTACATAACAATCGACGAGCATTAAAAAAAAAAAAAAAAAAACCCCAAAATTAATTTAAGAGTTTATTTATAATATCGTGCTTGTATTTACATTTTTGACATTAATTGTTCACTAAACAAAAATTATGTTAATAATTACTATATTTTTGAGCAAAAGAGTGCTAAATTATATTTAGCATCTTATTTTGTCCCTATAATTTAGTATTATAGCCTATAGGTGTAGCATTATTACAAAAAGTTTACAAGGTATTTTGTTAGATAGACATACTTAATGTATATAAGTATTAAGTATATATATATATATATATATATAAATTACATTAACTTTTAAAAACTATTCCTTTACAGATATAGTTTTTCTTTTTATTATTATTCGCTTAATGTTTATAATTAAATACAATCGCAAAAGGACTAAAGAACATTAAATAAATAAAAAATTAATTTTTATTGACCGGCTATAGAAACCAGGAAAAATACAACTGTAGAGAAACTTTAGTGGAACAACAACTAATTTGTGTTTAATAGTATCTTTTAGATTAAACGTTGACTTGAATAAAAATTATATTTAAACAATCATTTTTCTTTTACTACGTTAAAGTTATAAATACTACAAAATGACTTCAAATACATTTCATTTTTTACAAAACTCTTAAGAAGAAATAAATAAATAAAATATTTTAAAAGTATACGAATAGCAAATTTTAAATCGTCGGACAATGGTAATAAGTAAAAATGTTTTAAGTACATAGACATATATCTACCTATCTGTCCATCTAGAGCGAAGGGGTATTTTATTTGAATTATTCATTTGTATTTCAAACCACTGTTGGTAGTAGGAATTGAAATAATTGTTATCTGTATACTCTTTTTGAATTACACCGACCTTCATAATTTATAATGATTAATACTGTGTATATGTCAGACGAGAAGTAGCTACAAGTATACAGAGATTATACGAAGCAATAATGATTATTGCCTTTCTTCTACATGCTAGTTAAAACCTCGTAGTTTATCTAGCTTAATAATGGGCGGGTACTTAAAGAGAAACTGCAAAGAAAGTAGTATATAAATATATGTATATACATTTTGATAGATTACTTGAAATTGTTAGGCGCGCTTGTAATTGGATATCCGAGCTGAGAGAAAAAGTCATAGAATCAGAGTAAACAAAAAAAAAAAAAAAAAAATAGAGAGATAGATAGATAAAGAGATAGAGGGAAAAGACACGATACCTTGCACCTTACAGTGACTACACCTTAAAGGATTGGATTGGAATGCAAGTTTATAAGTCATTGACAGACCTATCAAAATTTAAAAACAAATTTTTAACCGTCAGTGTTACTGTCGCACAGCCATTATAAAATAATAATATACATAGGCGTAGTAGATTCTATTTATTATATTATACTTGACGCGGAGGTATTTTTATTTCGTTTTATCGAATGCGTTCATTATAATATTATTATACGCATCCCACGTTGGCGCGTGACGGCGCGGATAGTGAAGGTGTTTGTTATTATAGGTATACGTTATATTTTGTTCTCTTGCAAACAGCGTAATGTTCTCTCTGCGGGTCGTCCACGCCGGCTCGCGTGGTGTTGTGCAATACATACCATAAAATAGTTAGGTATACATAACGACAACATTGTAGCTAGCAATAATAATGATAATTATACATTTATAAATACATTTCGTTCAAATTGGAGTTTGAATACAGCGTGGTCACCGTTTCGAAAACATCGTACCTATATCCTTTAATGCATAGTCAGTGATAATGGCTTAATCGAGGTAAGATTAGTACGAACAATTCGTTTGTACGCGCGTTGATGTTTTAGACACTGGATCAGAACATACTTTGTATTCACGTGTGAAACATGTGTAACCCTATTTTACGAGTATATAGCAGACATAAAAAGTTGAAATTCTTTAAACTTAAAATCGGTCATGTATCTGAGTACTATAGGCTTCTAAATGTGTTTCGAGAATATTTACGATTTCAACAAATTAATTGAAATTTCAGTTTGTTGTAATTATTCGGATGTGCAGCTATAAACGTCAAGACTATTCGCAGAAAACCTGTACACAATTTTAGATTATGCCTTTATCTGCAGAAACAAGTTTTTTGCGTGAAAACAATAAATACCACCGAATTTTAGAATAATATTTTGTTTCGCAATTTGACGATACGGAAATTTATCTAAACGATAAAGATTCTAAATAGTGATGGACATCTGCAGACTATGATTGAGATAGTACCTTTACCTACAATATTTTCGTTACCATCAAAACGTGTATAGTGTACATGTGCCTAGAAAAATAGTAGAAAAATAGTTATTGGTCGCGTGTAGACGAATAATATCATTATTATTTTCAGTTTTCAAAATTATTTTTAAAATGTGCTCAAACGACGGTTCGATATAATAAGAAAGTGCACGGAAAGGCCGCGTCTTAGCATCGCCGAGACAATAGTTCACACGATGGATTGCTATAATAATAATAATAATAATAATAATAATAATAATAATTGGTCTCGCGCAAAGGTCACACACGACGACGACCGCAACGGCGTCGGTCGTATAATATAATTGCGCAACGCGACGGGGTTAGTCGGGCGCGCGTAGGAGTAGAGCGACGGCGGCGGGTGCGAAGAAGCGTCGGTCGCCGTCGTCGCCGTAACCGGTACGCGCAGCGTCGTCTTCGCGGTCGGTTTGGAAAACAATTCGTGCGCGACGGAAATCGAAAGAAGAAGACTCGTTGCGTAATGGCACAAACACTACGTTATATTACATTTTATTATTATTATTGTTATCGTCGTCGGTGCCTTCTTTTTGTCGGTCATAATCGCGCGCACCGACCTAATGTAATAACAACTCACTATGTGGATAATACAGCTATACCCCTTGGCCGTGCGGAGGCGTCGCGAACGACGTACTTCTTGACGTTATTGTATTACAATAAAATTTACCGGTGTTGCGTATTATTATTGTTATATTATTATTATTATTATGACTTTGCATGTATAGTATTACGATCGTTGTAAATTTAATTTTAAACATGTTATCATCTGTCCGCGTTTGACAATAGGACGTTCGAAAGTAAATGTTCGCAATATTAAACCGCGGGTTCTGGCCCGGATGGAACCGTTTAGAATGCTGTAAATATTTCGATGGGTCGCAAGAATGTATACGAAGACGTATACTGATAGCCGAAAATGTTATTTAAAACCTGATCATATCACGGCGACGATCAAAGAATTAACGTCCGTAACATAATATTAAGCTCGGAACAAAAATTAAGAGTAACACATAAACGTTATAATACGAACCTAATATATAGTTTGGATAATAGTTTTTAAATATTAAATTTCGTTGACGTATTAGTTGGACTAGTTATCCGGGTTTAGTTGGGTATTTTATTTTATTTCATTCACATCCTTTTAGAAGGTAGTAAAAAATAGATTTTTATGTTGCTTGTCAAAAAACGTAATACTAATTTATGTATCGTTTATTTTCTGTTTGTTTAAATAAGCTTTTATCATCCTTATAGATAAATGCACTAGATGATAATAATATTGTCTAAGTCACGCGGTGGGGTGATTACGAAGATTTTAGTATTGTTTCTCTACTTGTTTTGAAAATCAAGCACAGTTATACGAAATCACATTATTTTGATGGTAAAACTCCGAATCCTATATATTTAACTTATATTACTTGGAGTAAAAGTTGAATAAAATAAAGTAAAGTGAACTAAATATTTAAAGCTTATTTTAAAACAATATTGCATTTCCTCTTATTTTAATGTTCCAACCCTTTGAAATTATGAAATATCATGTAAATGTTTAAATCTGTGTTATAATCGTCTTTTTTTTAAATCGAATCGATAGCCGTTTGATAATAAATAGCAGTCTTATATTGATTTTTGGTATATTATTAAAAGGCTGTATGAGGTCAGTTATATATTAGATTTTTGTATGTTGTGTTAAAAAATAATATATGAATATTATATCATAGATACCTAACCTATTTATCGAGGTCTAAGGGATAGGTTTACATATAATAAATATTACTTAAATAATATTTTTTTAATATTTAAATTATCGATAACTTATAAAATTTAGTATTTACACACAAATCACGCAATGTTAAGAGATAAAGTCTAAGGATAAAGTTATTTTGGATACTCGTTTAATATTATTAATGTTAAATCTACATATATATTAAACAAAACTCTACTATTTCTCTATAATTGCGTATTATAAATTTATAAACAATAAACATAAAATCTTATTCAATCCTCAATCCTTGAGTATACCATTTTAGAAGCTTAAATCAAATAAAAGTTTAATTATATAATTTCATGTATAAAATAATGTGTTTGTGTTTCAATGTTTTATATTCTCTACACTTAGAAGAAAAACACATAAAATTAAAAGTTTATATTATTGTTACTAATGTTAGTTTATCGTTGATAAATGATATCATTAATAAAATATAATTTCAGCTCATATTTATAAAAATATTTAAATTTTGTACTAAAATGTATTCATTTCTGCCTCTTTTTGTCTTATTAAATATTTGTTAAACAATTATATATTATCTTTATGTACTTTATTAATATGTTCAAACATTTTTAAAACAATAAAGATTTATTTTGTGTACCATTTAAGTTACAGAAAATCCAAGATTAGTACTTACTGAACGTGCAGTGTCTAAATACTAAGCAGTTTTATATATTTTATGATTATAATTCATGGTTTATAGCGAACGTATAACATATTATTATTGTTTGTTTGAATTCAGCACTTCTACAATTACTAATGTAATTTCTCATTTCGCTAACGGCGTTAATAACAATTAAAAAAATAATAAAACGTAAGACTGGCGCTGGGTATAAATAATTGCATATCTAGGATACATACAGGTTCGTAAATGTGCGTGTTTTTAGACACATTAAGTTATTCTTATGGGTAATCAGCTAATAAAGCGAAAAAAAAAAATAGCGAATTAAAATTATCGAAAATAAAAATAACAAAACTAAATATTATTATTAAAAAATAATAAATCCAATGTTTAGGGGAAAACTCTTATTACATAATAATATAATCTTTATTAGTCTGTCATTATTATTGTGACTCAAGGTAATATCCGTTATCTATTTTATCGTGAATATTGTGTAGATCATCAAATAATTTGTACGAGTACGACGTTCGATAACGTAATAATCGTTGGCAAAGTGTTATGTTTATTATTTTATTTCTTAGTATTCTATTTTTTTAAATTTGATTTTGGAGTTATGGAATTTATTAAATCTAATAAAAATAAACTTTTACTCGTGTATAATAATTATACTTATAGAGAAGAAAAAATGTACAAGGAAACGAAGTATTGGAAATGTATAGATATGCGATGTAAAGGTCGATTAACAACTACTAGTAATAATAAAATTAAAAAAGAATCTTCAGAGCATAACCACGTTCAAGATATATGAAAATTAGAAGTAAAAAAAGAAGTCGAGAGAATGAAATCACTACTCACAAGCACTATCGTCACAAGATAATCCTTAATAAATAATCGCTTCATTACCCGGAATATCTAATTTAAAACTCATTTTAAGAAGAGTACGCCAACGTAATGATTGTGCACCGTCGAATCCTCAGTCACTTTTTTACCTCCAAATACTTGAAAGGTATACTTTAACTAAAAAGATGGAAGGAAATTCATGCAATACGATAGCGGCCTATTAGATGATCGTATTTTAATATTTTTTATTAAAAAAAATCTAGAATTAATGGAAAAATGTAATAACTAGTTCGTTGATGGTACATTTAAGTGCACTTCGACACTTTTCACTCAAATTTACACAATACATAATGATAATATATTGACAACCAATTCGTTGATACCTACTGTTCACGCTTTACCAAACAAATCATAAAAAACATATGTATACCTCCTTAATCAATTAAAAAAAATTAAATCAACTTTATTACCGAAATCAATTATGTCAGATTTTGAAATGACATAAATTAATGCATTTAAAGAAGTATTTTCAAATTTAAAACAAGAAGGATGCCATTTCCATTTTCCCCAATATATTTGACGTAAAATACAATAAATTAAATATATGACTCAAAAATATACATTAGATACGATTTTCATTACCGATATGACTTTTATTAGCATTAGTAAATGTACCAGAAAATCATGAGATGTGTTTGAAGAATTAATAGATTCACAATACTACACAGATAACGAAAACAGTTTACGACCACTTATTGATTACTTTGAAAACACTTGGATAGGTCGCCCAATGGGTCGAAGAAAAGGTCGTAGATTACCAAAGTATTCAATTAGTTTATGGAATTGTTACGATTCGGCAAGTACCTTATTGCCAAGGACTAACAATGTAGTAGAGGGTTGGCATAGAGGTTCCCGTTCATTACTTGGTTACTTTTTTAAAATATATTTTATTAAATTTATATTTTAATTCAATATAATTTATAATGTAATGTTACCTATTTAAGGTGCATATCTAACATAATGGACATTTATCGATGTGTTGAAAGATCAACAACATTTAGAGGACATTAAACAGGAACAGTTCATTGCTGGTGCAAAAAAACAAAAAAAAAAAATAAAAAATAATATAAAAACTGTTCAGAAAAAAAAATACGTAAATTAACTTTATCTTACAATACTATCGACAATATTAACTATTTAAAAGGTATCGCTACAAATGTAATTATATGATTTTGTGAATATTTTTATATTATATTTTTATACTTATACTTGTTATAATAATATTTTTTCGCTATTTTTGATTTCGTAATTATGTAAACTTCGCTTTTATTTTTTTTTTCATTATTTTGGTTTCGCTATTCTTCTTTTCGATTTTTTTTTTCGTCATTATGGCTTAGAATCATTGTTATGAGCGGTCCGTTTGTATTCTGTCTCGTCCTAATAACGAGAGTAAAGACGCGTTACCGATGACCGGTTACAACTAACGCAAGTCGAGACAATAAATGCATGCATTTAGGTAAGTATAATTTTAATTATATGTATACCAAGGCGTAGGTTATTGTTTAAGATTCGTATATTGTATTACAGATCGATTGAATAACAATTTGTTAACAGATAATATTTTCATAGATTCATATTATTTAATAATAATAATGCATAACGTTGTGTCGATCGCGGACGGTCGCGGGACCCGGTTAAGACTTGAACGACAAAACGTCGACGTCTGTAATATCATAATATCAAGTATTATACGCGATGCATCCGGTCAGTGGCTTAGATTTTTTGTTGCGGCCGGACCGGAAGTTTGACGATTGGCCTATACGTGGTGGCCAGCAATGATTGATGGATCTTCGCGGATTTGAGGGTCGTCGTCTGTTGCTGCTGCTGTTGCTGCAGACCCGTTACAGCCGCCACGGTTGGACCGATGACCGTCGGCATCTCCGGCTTCTGCAACACGGATAACGGAATGCGTTTCGATCAGCGCCTGCAATCGCTGCAGCTGCAACGGGTAGTGGATCGACTAGGCGGCGGCGATGGCGGTAGCGGCGGAAACGTACAATTCACGCATGTAATTTGGCGAATATTCGTAATGGGAAGATATATTTTTTTTTGTTTAGACTTTAGGAAAAGGAACGGAAATTCAGATATAATTAGACCACATTAATGTATCTTTGATATAGTTTTTTTTTTTAGATATTCCAAACAACTGCTGTAAGTACCGCAGAATTTTCGGTATTTACTTAATTAAAAAAATACTCAAATTTACACTCCTTATACATCTATACATGTATACATCATAATATCGTGTTGAGGAAAGCCGCTGACGTACATTCTTTTTAATCATCAAAATATTACCAGAAATTAAACCCTAAAATCTTTACAATGGTTTTTAAAAAGAATATTTTATATTTAATTTTTAAACACAAACATTATTTATGGTATTTTGTGTTTTAATAAAAATTGTTTTTACCTCGTTTATCTCTAATCAAACATGTATAGATAGAGATTTATATACTAAAATACTATGAGATATAGATGTAAGATATATAGTATTACAATAGTATAGGTGCGTTATAATATTTATAAAATATTGAGTACATTCATTATTTTATTATTATGACATCAATTCTCACTATAGTCTTAAGTATATATATTCGCAAGTTTAGTTGTAGTATGTTAATGGTAATAGATACATAACATTTAGTTATGTATTCCATGGACTTAACTCACTAACACTAAAATACGTATATATGATTCGATAAATGTAAGTAATTGGCTATATGTGGCGTAAATATTATAAACAAGTATATAATAATAATAATTTTAAAATACATTTGAAATCGTTTTTACACAATTTTTTTCATTTGGTATTGTGTCTTTATAGTTTACACTTCTGTTCGCATTAAACATAATACTGTTACGACGTAAAAGCGTATATTTAAAAATAAATCTACGAGTAAAATTGAATATTATTGTTTCTATTTTAATATTTTCAAATTAGAAATAGTACTTTAAATACATAGTTTAAACACTATATTATTACATATTATATCGTTAAAATTATTTCTCAGTCGTAGTGTATTTTTATGGTTTAAAGATTATACGTTAGAATTTTTGACTTTATATTTATATTTATATTTTAATATTTGTGTTATTATGTTTTGAAAAATAATTTTCATACTACGAGTATTTAAAATAATACATTTTTAATAAATAAGTATGATACTTAGTTTCTTTAATTTATAATTATGACTTAAATAATCAGTTTTCACAATATACAGCTAGATAGTAGATATATACGAAATATTTACATGTTTGGTTAGAAAATTGGAATCAGTTAAAGATAATATATGTTAAAAATACTACCAATACTCCATTCAAGTAAAACATAATGTATTTGCATGCATACTTCATGAATCTACATGAAGATGAACATGTACATTAGCATCTACATTTATTTTATCTTTGTGGAGAACAACACCGCACGAATGTCCGCCGAATACACTATTTTCGTGAATTATACGACAATAAATTATTATAATAACTTGTGTACTGACCTGTGGCAACACTCCAAGCATTTTCAGTGATGGGGGTACGCTAAGAACTGATGGCACGGTTACATGGCCAAAATCTACTGTAAAAGCCTCACACCATATACCGAAGTGACCAATATCGAATATGGTAAGATCACCCGGTAACGTTAGCACAATAGTCTTACGATCATACCGACGCAAAGGTACTTCTTTTCCATTCTCATCCGCCACCCTAATGCCCTGAGGAGTCGGTTTGTCGCCAGGGCCTACCCAAAACTTGGCATCTAAAAAAAAATCGTTATGGTCCAAATTAACTTTTACATACTATATGTGGTATTTATTTATTTGTTTTTATTTTTTAGCAATAAATAAATTAAATGTACTGCTATAGTAAAAACAACTTTTCATAAAGGATCTCATAGTTGGCAACTAATATTTTTTCGAGCAAAAAAATTTGGAAACACATTCTATCTGTTTCAGTAAAATATATGAAAGTTTTAAATATTCTACAGTAAAAGCCACACAATAGTTATATTTTTAAATGTTTAAAGTTTAAGGAAAAAGCTTAATGCGTGATCATGATATAAACTGCGGTTTTTCCTTTTTCTTTGAAATGATAATATAAAATTATTTAAAAAGGCTAAAATACCTACAGTTTTAATATTTTAATTTATTTTCTATGTAATATAACAGTTCACAACTATATTATGATTTAATATTTAATATTAATAATTAATATAAATATTAATTAAATCAAAAGGTTTCATAAGGTTATATAAATTAATTCAATTATTTTATAATTAAATTTTCTAAATACTAAAAGTAAACCCATTTATGCCAAGGTAAGAACAAATTTAAAATCAATTTAATTGTATATCGATAATAATTAATTATTATTTATTGTTGTAATATTGTTGATCGTTACCTGGTGCTTCACCATCGTAGGAAAATCCTGGTATCAGCAATGTCTGTGCATCAACTACGACTATGTTTTCAGAAGAAACTCCGTGAATTCCGGACAAACTATCGATTTTTTGAGGTTTTGGGTAATCCAGATTGTAAGGAATTTTTACGTCTCCAAAATTAACCTTTTAAAATACAAATATTTAATAAGACATTGTGTTGTAGAAAGAGTATTTGAAGTATTTCTATAAACATACAACATTATGATATGGGTATAAATGGGTAGGTTTTTAAAAGTTGTACTAATAAATTATCTATGTAACATTAAAGTGTCAAAAAAATAGAAATATCCATGATTTTAACTAATTTGATGATAAGAAATTAGAAATTAGAATATTGTAATCTTTTATTTAAAAGACTTCATGATGTACCTATATATGTAATTAAAGATTGTAATGATGATATTATTATTATTATTATATAATTTCAATCAACCGTTTTATTATTGTGTAGTATGTAACCGTTTATTAGATAGGAATCAATCGAAAGTATACAGATTATTTTAACACAAAACGTTGAGTTTAAATGTTCGTAATTAAATGCGGCATTGCGCTCTTAAGTGCTCGTATAATTATTTCGGAGGCAGCCGTCGGCGATGGCCATCAGAAGGTCGAAGATAAAGCGATTTGTTAACATGCCTTTCTACGACGATATAGACACGACATTAAAAATAGTAAAAAAATAATAATTCTCAGTACACGGCATTTTAATTTTGTTTATTACTTTTTCTTTTTTTTCATCGTATTACAATATAACCGGCTCGTTATTTGACGGTTATTAAGAATTGGAATGGCAAATTAAACAAGTGACCGAGAAAGCACATTTACGAACGAGTGTTTTCAAGCTGTTTTTTGATTTGGTTTCATTAAAGCAACTACGGAGGCCTTACATGATATAGCAGTGTACACGTATAATATACGCGTATGAATTAACCGGAGAAAGTGGTCAGGACCGTCTGCTACCGTTAGGTATAATATTATATGTTTGCATATTATATGTACTCTGTTTGAACCGAACGAACACCACAGATATGTTTTTATCACGATAATCCATACCTATACAGAATGTGTAATACGAGGTTTCTCTAATAAATGATATCGATATGAATTCCAAACTCACATACGTGTATACAACAAAACGTATACATAATGTGTGTATGTGTGTTTGTGTGTGCATGAACATATAACTATGGTATGTGCTAGTATTAATTTGTGTAAATGTGCATAAATAAAGCTCTTCCTGTTAGTCGAGTACAAAAAACTGGGCAGACGACAAACGTGGCGGCCGAACTCGTTATTTCGTCTATAATATGCACTCACCGAGAAGTCTTCGCACCAAACGTAAAACCACTTGATATCGTGCAGTGTCAAACCCTCCGGCAGAGTGATTGTCAAGTGTTCATTTCTATACCGTTTCAGCGGGTTAGTTCTGTGGCAAGAAAAAAATAAATTCATATTTAAAAAGGGTTTTTTTTTTATGCGAACAGAATGTGTATAATAATAATAATAGTAGTAGTACTCACGTTGCTTTCTCGTCACGAATCCTATATCCGTTGACGCCGGGTTGTTTGCCATTGGAACCATAAAAATATGCGGCTGAAAACACGCATACAATATTGTCGTGTAGAATTTAAAATGTGATATAATTGAAATAAATAATTATTATTATTTATGTATAAATATTTTTTAATTTTATATCTAACCCAATTTAATTTAATAAAATATAAATTATTGTTTTATCCACTAGTTTGATCGATACATAGATGATATACTATTGATGTCAGTCTTTCAAATTTGTTAGCTGACAAATGTATTTTAGTTGAATAATAATTAATAGGTAATGGAAAATTGGATACTATATAATAAATCCAATCATTGACACCATTACAAAATGTAGAGCTTGAAAATCGCATTAGTTTGTGTAATCGAATCAATACATATGTTATCATACTTCAGTTGTTTTTAAATTAAATTGTTTGTATATAATAACAATTATTAAATAAAATAATAAATAGTTTTATAATAGATGAATTCTCCCTCTTCCAATGAAAAAATATATAAGTATAAATAATATTTCGTGAATACAAAAATATAGAAATTAAATATATTTATCTATTTTAATATTTTTTTAAAGTTAAATTATCTGTTCAGATTAAATAAATACCGTAAAGCACTAATTTAAACTTTATTTTATTATTGATACGTATTTAATTAAATTAGTTTACTTAAATATTGGCTTAAAATTATTTTTAACGCTTTCTGTTATAGCTACATCTGAGCTTGTTATCAAACGATGTCAACTATGCACTACTAAACAGTAAAAAGTAATGATTACCTGGTCCTTCACCGTCGTAAACAAAATTCCTGATGTGCAAGGTTCTAGCGTCTACAGCATATACGTCTCCACCTAAACCATGGTGATAAGACTTCAAAGGGCCTAAGTATTTTCCATAATATTCTGAGGCGCTAGATACAGCTGAAATAAAAAAATAAAAAATACAATATTATACCTAATAAATGTATTTTATTTAACGTATAAAATAAAAAAAATACCTACATCATCTAGGATTTATAAAATTAAAAATGTCTAAAACTTAGTAAGAAACCTTGTATTATTTGAATATAATTGGAGTATGTAATATGTATCTTCTATAACTTTTTACGTTTGTATTTTACCCGATGAATTGTAATTATTTTAAACAACTTAAATATCTTTAATAACTAACATGGTTTTTAATTTTTTTATTAATTAAAAATAAAAATACAAGTGTAGTTCAGTATAAAACTAATGTCTACATCGGAAACATTCTGTGAATGTTATAGTTATTTGTATTATGTATATTCATAATGACCGTACAAGCGTATAGTGCACGTGGCATTATAATATCTGTCAATGATTATAGTTCAAGGTTTGAATTGCATAAGGTTCACAATTAAAGTGAAAGTGTAAAAATTTAGAAAGGAGAGTTTCAATAATGTTCAACTTAGAAATTTAAAAAATCTACTTTAAAATGTTGTGGCGTTTAAATTTGTTTCTTGGATACCTAATAAAATATAACACCCTGCAGCCGGCGTTAACTATTTGTTTTTCGTTAGACTCATACTTGAACACGAATACATATTTCTGAAAGCTGATTGGAAATGAAAAATTAACATACAATTATTATACTAGCCAATAAATCATTGTCATTTTTTTCGGTAATATAGAATGAAAGTTTTCAAAAAACAAATTTTTACATTAAACAAGGATTAATTTTATATAAAAAAACAAAACATACAAGAAATTACCAGATTAGTGATTTATTATTTTGAAAATATAGTTTATAATTTTATAAGTATAAGTATTCGTTTTCGAAATAATTTTAAAGAACTATCTAGTTATTTTTATGATGTGGTAAGGCAAGTTTGTTTATTTATCGCATTTTTTTTGAGAACAGTTGATTTATATTTCATAATGTTATCTAAATTAATCGTGTTTGTTCAGACCTTGGTTATCGAAAAACCCTTTGTCGAAATCAATACGTCATATATTATGATATATTTAATTGTATTAGAACTTTATATTTTTATTGCTGAACAGTTAATATATTATTGCAAACGGTCTATTGAAAGAAACAGGTTACAAGATAATATTATTGTTTCGGGTCAGGTCACACATAAAAATTAAAAAATAAAAATTATTACAAGATCATAATCCGCATAAACCGTAGATGGCCCAATAACCTGCATACGTATATCATCGTACATAATTTATGTACAGGACGTACACGACGGATACGCATATATAAATATGTATATACAATATACATACATACATACATACTTGTATATACATAAACACGATCTAATGTGGATGAACATGTTTCGCTATGTTCAGTCGGTAGTCATGATAAACAATTATCGCACACATTTTCAATTAGAGCGGAAGAAAATTTTAATTACTAGTCTCATGTGTAGTGTAATACGTATAACGGATATCAACGAGACCATAACGACGAATTGGTAAAAAATAGAGGGACGCATTTATAGTTACTTTACTGATGTCACATAGATTACAATATAATATAGGCGCGTGTATGGACGGTATAAACGAGTCGGAGTACTCTAAAAAGGCTGCCGGGTATTGTGGGATGAACGCCAGGAGGAGAGGAAGTCTTCTACACGATGCATTTGCGTTAGAAGTTTTACATGTCACCTTGTATGAAAACGCTTTTGTAGTCGTCGGCAATTTTAATCATGTCAACCTAGTATATAGAATAGAGTGGAAAATCTGTTGACCTGTAAAGTACCCGATTGACTTTTCTATTACACACAATACACGCTTATATAATATATATATATATATATATATATATATTACAGTGCAACTCCTTATTTCTAAAGAAACTTCACGCTTTTTTGCGGATCGTATATATCTATGGTTGATCGTATTCAATCCAATTATTTATATATCGAATTGGTCACCATCATATGGGTTACTAAAAAAGTACCTAACCGTAGAGTTTTTTTTCTATTTAGTTACCAAGATTGAAGATACCATTTTTTATATACAAGTAAGGCGAATTTTAATCGTTTTAATTGAAAATCGATCCGGATCCAAGATATGTTTGCACGAATAACATTGAGAAATGAATAGTTTTACGTACTTCATTTTTATCTCTGCTGTCCATTGTTCTATTTATTATTATTATTTTTGTTTCATTATTATTATACCATCAATAATAAATAATAATAACATTAAACGACAGTGAATTGCACATATTATCATAACAATAGAAGTTTGATTTTATGTATTCTCCATTACATTTCGACGATGCTTGAAATTTTAGTAGAAAGTCGATTTGGGCGGCCGAATAAGGATAGGTACTTTTAGTAAACGATAAAGTCGTGTCTACCCCATATACACACGATGTATTTCGAACAAATGCTGCATTGATAAAGCTGAAACGGAAAGATCCCAAACTTGGGCATCATTACATAATATCATACACGAAATTCAAAACCGAAATCGAATTTAAATTATTTTTTATTGTGATGGTTATTGCATTTATTCGGTCATAACATACACAATGCAATTAGTAAATCATGAAATTCTATTGCTGTGTGTATAGTTAGTTTCATCTATAAATAACGTAACATAAATATTATTGTTGAAAAATTAGTATGTATTTACACTCTAACTACAATCTAACTAATTATTCAAGTTACATAATAACTTATATTAAACAGTTTATATTTTGAAGTGAAAAAATAATGATTATTCAATTTTATACAATAACAAATTGTAAGTGCATTGTATTATTACTCTCAGTACTCACTCAAACTACAATATAATTATGTACTTTTGATATTAAACTTAAAACCACCTTAATTAAGACTATTTAGATCACAGAATCCACAAAATTCTTTAACGGGCATCAGCTTATAATAAATATGAAATTTTCAGATGACAGTAACACTGTTTTTATAACGTAGTATAAATTTAAAATTGTTTTAACCAATAACAAATAATTAGTGAAATTTATTACTTAATCATTAATGTAAATCAAAACTTTTAAAAAAATGTTTCTGTAAATAATTAGAACTTTAGGTATGAATTATAATGCCGTTTGAAAATTAAAAGTATATATTTTTTAAAATCTCGATATTAGGTTAAGACGATGTGCACTTATAAACCTTCCATTAGTGTTACAGATATATTTAAACGACGTCTCATTTGGTTCATTTGAAACTTTGAACACATTTTAAATGATCGATTCACGCGTGTAATATAATACATTTTATTCCCGCTTTTCTAGCAGCGAATTCAATACATTTGCCTTTGCAATATGTGTTTCGATAGCTTCGCAATTTGGAATAACAAAAGTTTTTCTACTTCCAATAGGAACGTTGAATATAGTGAATATTTTTGTTGTCGTTTGGAATATGACTGCCAAGGACAACGGCGGTGAACGGGATATTTTACAACGGTTTTTATTATTATTATTTTTTATTTTTTTGTTATTAAATACGGTATCGTAATAATATAGTCCAGTGACAGCAGTCACTCGTATAAGTTTCGAAAGTGCGAGGGCGATTAAATACAAAAAAACGTTTCTTTCCGATAATGATTTCATTATCTCATATAAACGTATGCGCGTGTGTGTATGCTATAATTATATTATATGTATACTGCAGATAAACCTGTATTATGAAAGGCGTACACAACTGTAACATCGACAAATGTGTCAATAAATTCTACATGTATTGAATGAAGGTTTCAGATCAACCCTCCTGATTCCTTACAATAATTCGGTTAAGTAATTTTATGTGTCAGAAACTAATAAGCAATCTTCAATGGCTTAAGTTTCATAAGAAATTTGTCGATATGTTTATAAGATACGTAGAAAATACGAGGAAAAACTTTTTGAAAACATATTTAAGTACTAAGTAGTTAATTTTATCATGGGCCTTCCCATATCTTTGATTTATAATAATAATTAATGAAAATTATATTCAGTAATCAAATTAATAAACAAAAATACTATTTATCGTTTTCACAAAATAAATTATTAATATCATCTCCATAAAAATTGCATTGAGCATATTTCTATAATTCTATAATATTATACAAACCACGTTATGTGAAACTTATAAGCTATTTAACTGATAAGTGTGTTTGTATGTTACTGTTTTCTTTTCAATTTATTAAAAAAAAAAAAAAAAAAAAAAATGAAAGCATGCAACTAAATAACAACAGTTTTTATTATGGTTGTATGTTTTAGTATTTTTCTTTTAATTTAGTCATTATTTTTTTTTGTAAATTTATTTTAGAATTTTGATAAAAATAAAAAATTTAATTATTATCAAAAAATATAAATCAACCTTATAATTTCAAAAATAATATCTATAAGTTATGTGGATTATTTTAAGTGATTATGGAACTTATTAAAACGTATTAATACCTCGATATCATAATTTAAGTCACCACTGTCTGCGTGTCACTGTATCGCTATAAATAAGAAGTGTTGAATATTGATGTTAGCTCCTTCCAAAAAACAAAATTTTATTCATGATCGAAAGATAATTTTGTCACGTGACTTGACATGTGTTTGGCTGAGTTCATAAAATTATTGAAACGTAAATCATATAAAAAAGGACGTATTCCTTCATTTTAATCACGTGCAATTGATCAATTCGCTGAAAGTTCGAACCCATTTCTTTTTTCGAACACATTTGTCATATAATATGTCATCTACAGTTTATTTCGATTTATTAGTTATTTTATTATTAATGTAATAACATGTTTTAGCTTTATCATTGATAAAGTATAAACATGAAAAAAAAATGGTTTCATATTTTTATTGCTTACTAAAATGTATAGTCAGAAATATAATTTAAAGCTAGAGTACAGATATTTATAAAACGATTTAGAGTTTAATCAAAAATATTTTTATTATATATTATATACATATAAAACTATACCCATACATTGAT